AGTTACCGGTATGTTTTTCGCTCGATCTGCAGGCCCGGGCCTGGGGCCGGAGAGTCGCCATGCAGCGTACGGTGCACAGTGTTACTGGTACCAGTATTACCGGTACCAGCACTGTACGGGATGGAGTGGCCACTGCCACTGGCTCCAAAAGTTACGGGGAGGCACTCTGCCATCTGGTACACAACTCTCGTGTGGATTAATCAGGATACCGGTAGCGGCGCCCGGGAACGGGTGGGTTAGATCATAGATAAGGTGGTTAGGATGGGTTGGGGCGCGAAGTGCGTGCTTAATCTGGATAGGTTTCTTGGTTTATGTGCCCGGGTAGCTCGAAGGGGTCACACGCCCGTTGAGAGTTGGCACCAGTATCCAAAAGTTGGGAGTCCTGGATGTACGGTAGGTACCTACTTTAATTCAGGTTAAAGTAGGTCGTATTAAAGCGAAAAGTGACGATAGGTACGCTGAAGCCTGGAACTTGAAGCGTGACGGTGATTTTGAGTGACATAGGTAGGTAGGTATGAAGGATTATACTGCTGCAGCTCCAACTTCCAAGTCCAAGCTGCCGCAATGGCTGAGCTACCGTAGCAAACAGACACTGAGATAGGGAAACAGCCGAGTCTCATGCTGCATTAGGGGGCCGGAGCGATCAGCAAAAAGCTCTGCATTGAAAGGCGACATCCGAGCTGCTGAGTAGTGGTGCGACACATGAGCGTCCATCAGTTCCCCAGAGATAACTTCAGACCCGCAGTAATAAGTGTCAAGAAAAACTTAATGGTTCTCTAGGACTCGAACTATGGTTGCAAGGGTGACGTCTCCCCGGTCAGGCGCCGCGGGCGACGTCACCATGCGAAGCATCAGCCGCCAGACCCTGGTTATGCTGCCGGTGGGAATAATAGTCTTTGGGTTGGTGCTGTTTGTCCTGCACTCGTCCGGCAAGCTGTCGCACTTTAATCCTGGCCCTTTGAGCCAGTCTGTATCAAACGACAGTCCCTTTTCCTCGTCCTTTCTTGCGGCGAGGTACAATGTCCAGCTGAATGCACGTAGCTTGAAGGAGCTGTGGAGCGGCGTCGACAGTGATCAAGGGCCCAAGGTTGGTGATTCGATCTCATGAGTTTTGGATTGCTTGATTCGAAATCAGTGCACTTTCCAAACCGGATCTTCATTTCAGCATGCAGGAGCTTTGTTTGTCTAGACCCGGCGCTTCCGTCTCTGTACCTGAAAGCAGATGCTTGTTCGTATAGACTACTAGCCAGGGTGGTAAGGTGCCAGGGCCCATTGTGGCAGACTTTTCAACATCAAATCTGCAGATAAGAGGATGCCCATACGTACAGACCCATCTATGGAACAAGTAGGACAAAACAAAATTGTGGTATCAGCACCTCTCACAGTCAGCCACACATGTGAAGTTCTTCTTCTAGGCACCCTTTATGACGTACCCGCATCAACCTTCGGAAACGTGCCACCTTAAAACTCAAAATGTTCCTGTTGCATTAGCATCTGACGTTTGAGCACATAAGCAGAGTTCTCGCTCCACTCAATGATACAATCCTCTCTTTTGGGTTGCCCTTCGCCCCAACCTTCCAATTCACATCTTGAGACTCGTTGAGCACTTGAAGATGTTGCACTGTCTCAAGAACCAAAATGAATTGACACCTGTTCTTCCTATAGAAACCGCAGGATCAGATTGGCCTGCCACCCGTCGATAGCCTACGGCTGCCAGATGGAACTGCCGAGCACATTTCAGAGATTATACACAAGCAACTGAGCGGGTTTCTGGCAGCCAAAGAGAAGGTTAGAGCAGTCCTCCTGAACCCCTTGCTTTGCCCAAGCCCTTTCATATGTTCTGGATCGAAACGGCAGAAGGACTAAAATGTGTTACAACGCATCGCTGAGGGTGATGTTTGGATGTCCGTAACGGCGCAGCTACTTATCATGGTGGCAGAAGGTATGAGGGACTCCTTTTAGCATCCTCTTTGGCTGCTGCCTTCCTTTCATCTGAGTCTGAAAAGGTAACATAATCAAGTGCTGCTGTATTGCATGAAAAGCACAGAAGAAACAACCTGCTGTTGGAACCCTTTGATTGGGGACATGGGAACAGTAAGGAGGCCTGCAGAATGTTAGCCCAACTGGTCTGCCCCTGAACTCTTTCTCTACCTCTTACTAGAGCTTTTGAAGAGAATCTGCACGTCTATCGTCCACCCTTTTAGCCCTCCTTGTGGTGTCTGGCATCTCATAAGCCTAAAAATGCTCCTCTTTCGTGTAGGAATCTGTTGTGCAAGACGGTTCCAGGCCGTTCTCACAGGAGCTGCTTCCGGAACTGGTCTCAAAGAAGGTTACAGCATCAATAAGTTCCCAGTTGAACAGTCAATTTGCGATCTGGAGCAAGCAAGTGGAGGTGAGATGCAGCCTTTCTACGTGCGGAGTCCGTTGTTGGCAGGACAGCTGGAGAGTGCAGTGCGATCTTTTAGAGTCCAGCAGGCTTTCAAATTAATAGCTGGTGCAGAATGAGTCTTACGGATTCAAACAGAGAAGGCTGGTAATCTTCTGACCGTCAACCTTAAAGGCGTCTTGATCTTGCTTCTCACGCTCTTACACCAAAACTTCAGAGTTGGCTCAGTCCTCTCATCCTTCTAGTCAGTCAAAGACGTTGTGGCGCTACTTTGGTTCTGAACTGAGGCATGAACTGAGAAAGGAGCCATCCTTTGTGATGGAAAGAAGAAGTGAACCGACTGGCTGTACATTCCATGGGAACGTGACAGCGGTTGGCAATTCAGGCCTGGAGCTATCAGCGGACTTTTGCATCAAGTTTCATGACCCTAAAGTTGTACTAAACTCTCTGTGCAGGAACTTAAGCAAGCGATCTCGCAAGCAAAAGCTTCTGCAGCCGAGTTGAAAGAGGCGCATGAAGATAAGACGCAGCTCACTAGTGTGGATACTGTGGAGGTCGAGCAGCTTGTCAGCCATTGGGACTTGCAGTTCAACCTGAGTTCCCACATCAGTCTACCGAAGAGGAGCAGCATAACTGAACAAGTCCTTCCAGCACCGCATCTCCAGGTAAGCTCTCGTTGTGGGTGCTTCAGCATTGTTCAGTCCATTTTGACCGTTGGCAAATCTGGCAGCTTCATTGCGGCTGACTGACATGCCTTCCTCATACTTCCTGTTTCCAGAAGGGAGTGCTTTTGTCGAGCGGCTGGTCGGTTCGATGATCAGGAAACGTACGGAATGAGTTACCCGCGACTGTTGCAGGCTCGCCTATGATCTGACGGAACACCAGGTGCATTTCAGTCGGAACACTGCCTTCCGCTGTTCCCTCACAACAGTCCTAGGGCGAGTGATTTCGGGGAACCGGATTTGAGGACCAGGATGAGCTCGCCTTGGCTGAGCACCAAGTTTTTCTTTGCACAGGACTGTGAAGCAGTGACGATACTGCGCAAGACTTGGGATCAGCGCTCTTCCGACGGGTCACTGCCGGCTTGGTATACAGGTGGCGCCGATGACGCTGCAATGACGTCTGCGCGCCCGCAGCCGCCTTGGGTGGTTGGAGCGGATCTGGACAATCTCCAGGGAACGCGGGCGGCGCAGGCAGCAATCTGGGCGCATCAGCATCCTAAGGTGAGGCCCGAAGTCGGGTTAAGACTTTTGGACACGGTTCTGAATCCAGGGTCTTGGCAGGGAAGAATTTCAAATGCGCTGTAGCGTTGCTAATCTGAGGGTAGGAAAGGTAAGAACGGGACGTCAAAAGCTTTGTTGATTGAAATGGGAGTGACAAAGAGCATGCGAATTGCGTTCGGTTTGTGTTTTCAGAGAAAGGTAGTGCTCCGAAGTGCCTCTCAGAGTCCCTCTTCTCAAGGGCCTCTGGTTTCCCAAAGGTCGTAGGTCGTTCAATGCGTTCCGGCATCAGGGCCCTTGTCGGCTTCCGAGAATCACATGGATCTCATGAAGCTGTCCCACCGCTCTTCGATGAAAAGTCACGAACTGAAGTGTGGATGCGCGGAGAGCTCGTTCCAAAAAGCAGCTTTAAGAAACCCAGAAGAGAGTCAAACTCGAACCTGGGCGCTAACCCAAGTAGCAAGAGGCAAGTATCTATTTCTTTCATCTCAGTTGCGGGCGGTAGCCCCAGTTACGGACAGCCTACCCCTGTAGAGGTCGGAGCGCAGAATAGGAGAACTTTTTTCATCAGGTACCTCGAAGTGTGTTCATCCAGAACGCCTTAGTGAACCCCCAAAGGCTTGTATTTGCGGGGAGTCGAAAGTCGATTGAGCTCGTGATTTACAAGCAGTTGCACTCATAGACTGTCAACCGATATTCGTTTCGTTACCCGCAGGACTGCCGCGATCCGGCGCACAAGTTCCTGGTCGTCAACTGGTGGGTCGCCAACGGCCACGGCATCGGGTCGCAGCTGCACGGCTGGAGCGTCTTCCTCGCAGTGGCCAAGACCTACAACCGGACTCTCATCATGACCGACTCTTTCACCCGAGCGGACCACGAGGGCTGCGTTGGGCTCGGCCGCAAGTCCAGCCTGGGCTGCTATTTCATGGCCCCAGAAGACCCGGTGTGCAAGTAAGCTTCCAGAAAACAAGGCCTTCGTTTTTGGCTGCTAATTCATGCCCCCAGAAAATCCAGTGTGCAAGGAAGCTTCTAAAGAAAAGGCCTTCGTTCTTGGCTTCTACTTCATGCCCTAAAAAGACTGGGTAGGCAAGTAAACTTCCAAGGCCCGTATGATTGAAGGCCCAAGGCATTTAAATCAGAGCTCTCGAAGAGCAAAGGCCAAGCTTAACAGAGAAAACAAGGCGTCGAGGACCCGCTTCAATCTCCGTCGTTAGAGTCCTTGTATTCGGAAACAGCTGTAGAACTTGCGTCAAGTCCAGAATTGGAAGCTAGAGGTTCCGACTCACGCAATTGTTTGTCCGTTCCTTCGGCGTTCCTTCGGTAAATGATTGATTGGAGCCAAGGGCTTTGAGAAGTCGGAAACGCAGCAGACTTTACCTTTTTGCGAGACTGGTATCAGTGCTGCTTTTTATGTGTGGGCAGTCAGCGATACGTACTCGGAATCCTCGATCGGAGGTCGTCTAACATTCGAGCGTCTTGCATTGTCACGGCATCACAAACAGACTTTGGGCTGCGATTGCGCAATCAAGTCAGGTGTTCAAAAATCCAAGGCCTGTGACGTCAGGCCTGAGACGTCAGATAGGCGTGGTGTGTTCACGGTATCAGCGCTTAGCCCTCGAGTCGGTAACGAGATGCGCTAGTATCCTAAAATTGGCAACTCTGACTTTCAAAAACACTGTGATGGGGTCGGGCAAACCGATTCCGTGAACCCGAAGGTCCAAGCACGCACCGTGTTCACACTAACCCGCTATGTAACCCCACCCGTCCCCGCTATTATCGCGGCCTGGGGTCCTTGCTTATTTGACCAACTGTAAACCTGTTTTGTGCAGACAAGTGGCGCTGGAGCTTCTCAACGAGCAGAACCGTGCCGGGATCGGTCAGCCGATCCATCACAACCTCAATTCCAGAGCTGAGATCGACGCCGTTCTGAGGAACAGCACAGAGCGCGTGTTGCATTACGGGCACAACTTGGAGCAGGCCACCGCCTTCTGGGATCTGGTGAGCCGGACTCGAAGTCTCAACTAGCAAACTAAGCTGCGTGAAAATGGCTGAGGAACGTGTGAGGTTGCCCTGGTGTTTAGGGTGGGGTAGGGTGCGGAGCGCGTAATTGTCTGGGTTATGGGTTTCAGTTCGTCTTTGCCCGGTAGAATGAGCTTTTTCTTCTTAGAGCTTGTTGTTGATAAACGAGACTTTTGGCTTTTCCCCTTCGTGATCTTTTATAGGGCAAGCGTTTCGTACCATTCGAGGAGAAATGGCAATCGCCTGCACAGCTCACTTTGTGATAAGAGCACTCGCGACGCTGAAATGCTGGTGTAGTATCCGATTTCTTGGGCTTCTCTTACATGGCCAATTCTCTCGTGCCAAGCAAGTCTGTCTCGTTTCTTTTGTGCATCAGCGCTTCTCGATCCTTTTGGCTCTCCGCCAAAACCCTTCGCTTCATTCGATCTCGCAAGCAAGCCTGCGCAGTGAATTCCAGCCTCGAGCAGATTTTCCCCTCAAGCGGCCCCCCTTCGGCGACGAAAAGAGATCTCCAATCTAGGTACAGAAAGCTGCGGAGATCGTATAAAGCCCCCAACCTGAAGTCGAAATCCTAACCATCGAAAATCTCCTGCTCCGCAGCGGTACCCACCAAAAATCACAGAAGAAACCCACCCGTCCCAGGTTAATTCTCTCAACCCGACACCAACTACTTCTAAATCGAAGTCTCGACGCTTACTGTTACTCTAAACGAGAAATTTTCGATCATAGGTGCCTGACGGCCCTTGGGGCCAACCCTGGATCTCGGACCCAACCACGACGGAGGAAGTGGCGGGGAAGCTTTTCGACGGGGGCGAGTCGACCAACAGGATGCGCTGGTGGCGCGCGCAGGCGACCAGCTACCTGCTCCGGTTCCCCACCCAGTACCTGTGTTCGCTGTGCAACCACGAGCGGAACCGGAACTACGGAAGGAAGGTGAGGACTCTGGGTCGGCCAGCGCGTAGGAAGGATCTGTTGAGGCAGCTTCGTTTCGCTGAGAAGTCTGTAGGATCCCGGGAGAGCTTATGTGTAAACGAGGAAACTGAAGCGCGCCCTTTTTCCCTTACTGAAAAGGCTTTGCGCTTGACAACGCCTTCTGCGATTGCCGTTGAAGCCCTGATGGCAAACTTACCCTATTGACTTTTCTTGGAGCAGCAGAAACAATTTGGCAGCCGCCGCAAGTGTTTCGAGATGTTTGCATTTAAGAGTAGCGATGAGGGTAAGCGCGCGCGTAATCAGAATTTTGACGTCCGATCTTAAGCGCCGAGTCGAGTTGTGCCCTCAACGTTCCAACTGAAGCCGCGATGCATCTTTGACTTTGTTTTCCCCCCCGCTCTCGTTCCAGGTGGCCAGGGAAGTCCTTGAAGCGAAGCAGAGGCAGCTTCAAGTCTCCACCGAGGACGAATTCAACAAGAATCTGATGGTCGGAGAGCTGGAGCATACGCTATGGAGTTCGGGCTCCGGTCTTGCGCCTTATTTCCCCCGTCCTATGTTGTCTATCCACGTGAGACAAGGGGACAAAGGGATCGAGATGCGGCTGTTCGACTTCGGGAGTTACATGGCGCAGGCGGAGCGCATTCGGCGGCACGACCCGAGCGTCAAGTGAGTCGATTGAAGTCCTTTTGTGAAGGCGCATCTAAACCGTTGCCCCATGTCACATGAAGGCGCAGCTACGACTTTTGATTCATGTCGCACAGATAGCACTCTCGTTACGCAAGTATGAGGCAGCACAATCATTCGCTGTATTGAGACGGTCTTGACGAAGTTCGTAGATCGCCAGTGATCCGCTCGCCAGCAACCACCAGAGCAGAAAAAACGGCTAAGAAAAAGCGGGAATTATTGTGTTTGTGTCAGGTTCTCTCGGTTAGTGAGGCCGGTTTCTGTAAGGAGAAAGCATGCCAGTAGGAGAACGGTCGTTTTCACGATCTTCTTCAGCAACTGCCCACTCGCCAGCTCCCAAAGGGGTTCTCTTGCCATGCAAGCAAGGAAGTGGAATAACCAAGTAATACTTCCTCAGCACACAGCACGAGATATCGGCCCTTGATCATGATGGACGGGTCTGGGCTCTTAGAGAAGGTGACTATTTGTCCAACAACCAGACTCGCGCAGTAACCCGCCTTGTTCCAAGGCGGGTTTACCTGTCCATAAACAAGAATTCGAGTCTGGTCATCAGCTTGGTTGGGAGCCAAACTTTCCTGTAACCATGTTTTATTGTTTCCGCAGGACCATTTGGCTCAGCACGGAGATGCAGAGCGTGGTCGATGACACGCGTCGTTACCCCGCGTGGGAGTTCCTTTACACCAACACCTCCCGGATCTTTGGCGCGGACCGCATCCCTGACGCTCGGCAAAATGTGGACCACGCTTTCGTGAATCTGATGCTAAGCGCGGAAGCGGACTACTTCGTAGGCGCGCTCGGATCAAATTGGAACAGGCTGATCGACGAGCTTAGGAAGACGCTCATGGGTCGCCTCCGGGCCGGGCATATATCGTTCAACATTGCTGAGTGAAGGGCGACCACGACCTTGTGTGCTTGTGGTGAAGTAACCGCTGGTCACTGAGCACGAGCTGGAGGTTAACGTGGAAGAGTGTACATAATTGGGAGACTTCGTGCTGTGAGCCTCCTTCATACATTGCAAAAGCGGGTTGTTCCCGTGCGCGCCATGACTTTGAAGCTACCCTGCACGCGTAGCATATAATCTTTCTCTTTGTTTTTTGTACCCCGCGCAACATGCACTGACCATTACTCTAAGGTGTCACACGGCCCGGCGCCCATCGAAAGCGGGCAGATGGTCGCTCGCTCTAATTAGCGTCTTGAGCCACGTGTTGAAAGGCTGCGACAGTGAGCCATTGGATAAGTCAAAGCTAGCTACCGCGAGACCGGGGTACAATCTGAACATGAGTTTCCGCAACCTGTGTGCTATCATTGCCAGGCTGCGCGCGCGCAAACCAATACTGGCGTGCAACTATGATGCAAATCGATCTGACGCCGACTTTGTGTAAAGCCAGTGAGCGCAAGCCAGTGCCAGGCTTAATATATTTCGCAAGTGTGGACTCGAGCGCGATATGCTCGAGCCCCTAGTAATAAGCACATGTGCGGCGTATACCGGTGGCCAGATTTCTCAAGAACAACTCTCTCACCCCCACTGGCTAGATCCAGCTCAAGCTCCTCGACAGCGGAACGAGGGGTAAATGTGCGAATCATGGTATGCATTCGCCCCTGATGTGCATACGGCATGACTAGCCCGGCGGCTGTCCGTAATGATAATCACATGACTTTCGTTACGCGACCAAATGCAGATTTGTGAAGCCTTCGTTTCTATTTTCAATGTATTGAAACAAGGCCGCACGGGCAAAGATACACTGTACGTATCCTTAATGGTGAGTTGTTGACGTTCGTCCATTTGAACACCTAGGAGCCTAGTCTTTCCAGAAGTGAGTCTTCGCAAAAGATGTACCACCGTCAGTTTATAATGATTGAGTCCACTGCTGAGATACCAAAGACAAAACACGCTAGTTTTTGTCCTTACGGTATGTGTTTACACAATCAAAACTCGAGCCGAGTCTGTAAAAGAATTTACAGGTAGGTACACGTCTAAGCCCTTGATTCTACGGCCACAAATGCGTCCGCAAGCCGGCCTTGCGTAGGTTACGGACCAGCTCCACCGCATCATCTATCGTCCGGGGGTAGTACTCATTCCAGCCGCATTGGGCCAAGGCCGGGTCTCCGTAGTGCACCTCGACGAACAGCTCGTCAATGAGCGCGAGCGCTTCGGAGTCACGGAGAAGGAGCGGCAGCACGTCCCACTGCAATAGAGGCAAGGGGCAAAATAGTTTGAAGAAAGTAGAAAAAGAAAGTTTAACGAGAGTGGAGAAAGAAAGTTTAAAGAGAGTAGAAATTGAAAGTTCAAAGGAAGTAATAGAAGAAAGTTCAAAGAAAGGAGAAAAGAAACGTTCAATACGAGGAAGTTCAGCAGATTGAGTTGTCTTTCCACGACGGCGAGAATCGTGAAATGCCCGACTGGGAAGGAGAAGTTGCTTGCCGGGGCCGGGGATAAGATTGATGGAATTTAACAGAATTAGGGCCCTGGTTACATGGGCGCGAATGGCGAGAAAGATGTCAGAATCTCTTATCTTCGTACATCATCAAATGCGGAGGTGTCTTCCTGGACCTATCGAGACAGGACTACCATTAGAGAGTCGGAGAGCTACGTGCTTTAAAGCCTCCTGAGCCCCGTAAGTACTTGAGTCCGGATGAAGGCAAGGGTGAGAACCTGATTCAAACGTTCTCTAAGACCAGACCTGACGGACTCATGGACGTGCGCATGTGGCGTCCGAGTTCAAGGCTTATCGAGGAGCTTTTTCAAACTGCCTCAAGCGACGTCTGCATCAATGTCCCTCTTCACGCAAACATCATACCTGAACCCCATCTTTTTGGTAGAGGTATTTCAGCTTTACCGGTGCTTCCAAGAGCCTCTCTCCGAGAAACACGCTCTTGCAACTGCCAATGTCCAGCATGTTGCTCGAGCTATCAGGGGGTTTTGGCTGCCGACCAGGCTGATCACCATACTGGAGGCTCAGATCACTGGCCAATTAACCGGTATTTAACCTCGCTACAAGGCAGGGTGCCGCCCAAGCCTGATTCTTGGACTTCAGGTTACTTTGTAACCAGCCCATAAGCATCCCTGGTTAACGGCCAAAAATTCCTGTTTAAAGTCCATTGACCCACCTCCGCCCCCTCGATGTCCATCTTCAGGATGAACGTATCCTCTTCTTTGATCCGCAGATCGTTCTTGATGAAACGCAGAATGTCGATGCCAGGCACTCCGGAAGCGGATGGCGGCAGATCTCGAATGCCCACTAACGCGCGGTATGCGGTTATGTTGGGCGGGTTGGGAAGGCGCGCGAGCTTCTCGATCGGCGGAATAAAGACGGTGGTCATCTCGAAGGCGTGGATCTGGAGTGGATGGAAACGGGTGCTTGGATATTATGTGGGACACGTTCGTGCTCTGGAGCGAACTTCAGAGACTTCAGCATCAGGGCAGCGGAGACGAGTTGGATACGAGGTTTCAAGGAGATCTTCCGGTATGAGTGTCATGAAAACAGGTGCACGTCGACTGCCAAAAGACTTCGGACGCACACGAAACCCGTAAACAGCCCACATTAGCATGCCACTCCAAGTAACCCGTGACAGCCTGATTGAAGACCCGTAAAAACAAGGCTGAGATCAAACCTTTCACACAACAGCGTATTTGTGGTACTTAAATTCCAACTTGGTCTGAAGAAAAGCGGGCATCCTCACGCAGAATCCAGTTAGTGCAGACGCAGGTTCTGTATTAGTATCCCAAATGTCACTGCCGAGATATATTCAAAGCGCCTCCGATTCAGGCAAGTGGAGATACGGTCAAAACGCAAAGAAGCAAGGCAGGACCGTACTTTCGAGACTCTTTCCCTCAAACTGCAAGTCCAAGTGGTCGATGAGTTCCGTACTCAAATGCCAACTTTTAGCAACGGCTAAGAAAAGGCATCGAAGATTACCCCCCTCACTCTAGACAAAGGATACGCCCCTAGAAGGATCTGATCATTGATCAACCTGATCTGCTAGCCCGGAGCTTTTGTATCCCAAACTATCGTGAAGCACGCTGGCAAAAGTACGAATCAGGACCCGTTTTCTAGACCACTTTTCAGTACCGGCAGCGCTGGAAAAGGGGACTCTTCAGTCAGATTTGACTTCAAAACGGGCTAAATATTGGCGCACATCCTCTTCAAAAGGGAACTTCTCTTGACGGAGCGGTCTCAAGTCAATTTTATGATTGGTCGAGTTACATGCCAGGTGTCGGAGCACCCACCTCATCGAACTCAACGGGGTACGTCCGCATGAACCACGCCGTGCTCGTTTCGAAACGGTTGGCGCCCAAGTCCATGAAAACGCGCCTGCAAAATCTAGCTAAATTAGGGTCCGCAGAAGAAGGGACTTTTCATGCAATCTCGTGATAACCAGGTTAGGCCTCTTGTTTTCGCAAACTGTCTTACTTGGATCACGGGGTCTATTCCCACAGATCAGACGGGTGGAGAAAAGCTCGATCGAGTCTAGGAGGTCTGCATCAGAAGGGCTCCAGTCCGCCTTAAAGAGTAATGACCAGGCAGATAAAGGTTTTATCAGTAGACACGCCACCGCTCAGCAGGCGTCGTCTGCTCAGCAGACTGTTCGAGGCTTAGGACAGTTCCCTCTTGCAGTAATACCAACTTTGTTTGCGTTCATGTTGATCTCTCTGAGGTCCGAATTACCATTTGGAATGTTGCTCTGTTTTCTAGCGGAAAGACTTAACAGCGTACGGCTTATCAAAAGACCTCTGAACTCCATTTCAGCAACTAGTTGGACTACTGAGCTCGTTCCCGATTTCAGAATGCACACGCTTCTGACGATTTACGCGCCACTTTAAATCTCCTGCACCCCACTGGCAATGTCGGAAGGCCCGTATCAGCAAACAAAGAACGATGAAATTCTAATCTTTACTTTACAGAAGAACAGCAGCAAAGGGGCTTCGGGCTTCCTAACCTGCGAGCCGAGTTCAGGTCGACTTGATTGCCCAATAGCCAAGGAACGATGTGACCAAGGCCTTCGACATCTGGACACGAGTGGGAAGTTTCTGGTTTCAGCTCTTTGAATTACAGTAGACTTGCAAAGAACCACGCTTTTCGTGATAAGAGGCCTGTAAGATCCGAAGCTTCAGCGATTCCGTTGATTTTTACTACAGCGGCAGCTCAAACTTTGCAAGCCTAGTATGCACGTCAAGGGGTGTGGCACAGCTGCCCTCTCTATCCGGAGTTTTGTTGCAGCGTGCGGTGTTGAGATACGATTACAACTTTTACCCTCTTGATCCAGCCAAAACCCTCGCCCAGCTACATTTTGAGACACTTGAGCTTCGTCCAACGTCCTCACACCAGAAGAAAAATAATTGAGCAGATGCCTCAAACACAACAGAATGAACTGGAGCTCCGATCGCATCGCTCACCATGAATCTGCCCGTATGAGTATTCGGGGCGAAACTGAAGCCTGCAAAGACCAAATAGAAGACTTTTGTAACAGGTAAGCAGTCAACTTTACTTGTGACGTTCTTCTTTCTTCCTTCCGTGCTACTACATTGGCCACGCACGATAACTGGGGCCACTTATGGATAAGAAACCATGTTCAATGCAGGTCATCAATTGCAAGACCTGCACCTGAACACACGGACCGTTGGCTAATTATAGGTTTACCAGGGTGGGGCAGATCAAAAAGCTGAAATCTTGCGCAGCTAATCCGACGGCAAAAGAATTCCAAAAAGAGGAGCAATGAATCCAAACATTCAGAATTAGATGCGGCCTCAGAGCAGAGCTGCCACCAATGTAATGAGGTAAACAGCAGCCGCTCGGAATCTGTAGACACAGTTGATTGCAGAACTTTTGCTGTGTATAAAAGCGGATTCTCAGCTCCTTGGGAGACTGGCGCAATTCTGGCCGATGAACGCTCGTGGCGCACAAGAATGAGACACGGAGCGTAAGTCTGAGGTTCTTTCCACGTAAAAGAAAGCGTGCTCACTTTGGTAAAAGTTCTTCAATCAACAGCCCATTGACGCGTTCCGCCGCAGGAAGCCCAAGCCTTTTGCCGTACGCTCCGGGAACCTCCATCAGAGCCGGGTCTCGGCTCATGCACGTGCTGACTTTGAGCCCGACGCAATTGCACGGCAGGCGCGGCTGACACAAGGCGCACACAGTGGAATTGCAGGGAGGGCAGACTAACGGTGGGTCAACAAGAGGGCGGCGCAAAGCGGCACTGGACGTTTGTTGCAAAGTGAGCAAGCCCGAAGGTGACGTCAGCGTGACGCTCCGAACGTCACGTGGGAATGTTGTGTGGCTGATGACGGCGCCCATGAGGAGACCGACAGCAAAGACGGTGAGTAATGCGAGTCCTGGGAGTTTCCCTTTTTCAGGATTGTGGGGGCTCAAGAGAGCCATCAGCTTGGGTGCTAAGAAGCTCAAGAAACGTCTTTTTTATGCAGGTTTCAGCTCAAAGAGCAATGCTGCGGTTGCACAAGTATTTCAGCCAGGGCGCCGCGCTCGTCTTGCGACTGGTTTGGAAAAGTGATCCACACAGGACTCCCTCCGACTCGTCCCGAGCGCAATGAATGGCGCTCTCGTTCTGCAATTCGCGGGGACGCGGACTGCGAGCCGATCTTTTTCACCTTAATCCACCAAGAGTTGAACGTCTTCTTGCAGTCACCCGTCTTCTTGAGTTTCTAGCTTGGTCCTAAGTAGGTATTAGCTATAGGGTAGTCGACTTCGTAACTTTGGCATTGCTTGGCAAATGCTTGAACGCTTCTGTGCTTCTGAGGGAGCCGGGAGCCGGGAGCCTGGAGCCTGGAACCTGGAACTTGAAAGCCATAATGCGGCATGCAATCTTTACGAAATTTCATGTCATTTTGATGTTAATGATTGCATTTTAGCTCCAGCCGGGGCCCGGGAGTCCTCAGTCCAGCCTCTGACGTCCGAGCTATCTACCCCAGTACTTACCGTTCTACCTACGGTAATTCCTTGCCGCGCCTGCGGCCTGGCACGTGAATGATACAGTCCGGACTCCGGACGGCGCCGGCGGTACAACTACCGGTATTCTGGTACCGCACCGGGCATGGCTCGGATCCAGAAGTGATTCTTGAAGCTACCGCCGCCGGTTCCTCAGGCTGGCCCTGGAGCCTGATAGCTGTACACATTGCACAAGTCTATCTAGGTAATCAGCACCAGATCTGAGTACAGTGGAGCCGGAACAGGTACGGTACCCTAGTGCCGGTATGCTCGGTCCGTACGGATGATTGTGAAAGGATGCGGACCTCATTCGTGTGGAAACATGTACACCTGGCGCGGCCTCTGTAAATACTCTAGATTGCCTGCCAGTCTCCAGATACGAAAAGACGGTATCGGTTGGTACTTCCGGGTACCATGCACGCTGACGATCCCGACTTCCAGACTGACTCCAGTCGGAGGAATCTATTACGGCTGCCTTCACAGCCGTCGATATGTCCTACCAAAAAGGCAAGGACGGCCCGATTGCGCGCGAAATACCGTCCACACGAGTGACTCGGTCCTTTCGTATACGGTACCGTCTACCTAGGTAGACCGTAGGACTGTGGGATGTGCGTACCTGGCGCGTACAGTCACCGAGGTACCCTAGTAGGTAAGTTAGGTACACGAACTGAGCACTAGGTATTGTTAAATACAGTAACAATGAGTGTGTCGAGTAGGTACTGGGCAGCCAGGGGTCACGACTCACGACTCACCGCCATGATTGCTGCGCAGTGCGCAGTGCGCAGTGCGCAGTGCTCAGCTGTCGTGCTGTCGGCAGCTGTATGTAGCCTGATTGGCGCGTCAGCGGCGTCACTGATCGAAATGACGCAAGCAATCGGATTCTCACTGTGGGTTCAGCTGCCTTCAACGTTCAGCTGCCAGCTTTCAGAGTTTCTCTCCGAGTCCACTGCCACTGACGAGGATGAACATCATTTTTCTGAGTCTCTGTTTCTCACCTACCTAGCTAGCTGAAGGCCCAATCGGTTAAAAGACCATGCGGTCCATTGATCAAGAAGCAAGCCTGATCACAAGCGCGCCAGGCTAGATGCCAATATGGATCACTATTACGGTAGTAAGGTTACATGCAACGCGCCAATCTGCTCTCTCAGAAGATTGCAAGCTGGGTCGCCATGCTAATGTGGCAGCCCTAGTGTGGTTAGCTGTCTCTCATAGCCCTCCTCAGGCCGCATAATCTGCGAAGTGGTAGGTCGCTCAGAATTGCCAGCTGGCGCGCCTGATCAGTCCGCTGACTCTTCTGAAAAGTTGGCAATTTGCCTCGCTGCCCAGTATGGTTATGCCGGGCAAGCATTTACTGCCCTCGACAAACCCGGGCACCTTTCTTGTGGGTGTCGTGGTTGGGTGTTTGGTGTCCGCTTGTTGGCGCGAGTCTGCGCCTCTTGACGCCAGTATTGGAGGATGGGTCGGAGTTTTTGGTTCTCAGGGGGGGCTGCTGACCTCCCGCCTGCGGCTGGGCGACTGGGGCGCATCCGGCAATGAGAACCTCACTGACGCGTATATGCGGGCGGAGGAGATCGCAAAGCTCCGCAAAGCCGCAGTCGACGTGGCCAGCCTACGACTGGAGCTCCTGAAAGAAATGAGAGCCGAAGCTGAAGCTGTCAGAGATAGCAACACGGCGCCAGGTGACGAAGCGCCACTCGCAAACGGAACAGGGACGGAGCAATCTGGAACTTTGCCCGGGGGAAGCGCTTTCACAACAACCGCGGGCATGCAAGAAACCGCCGGGGGCCTGACAGGTGGCGCCGCGTCATTGGCGAGCTCCGTGTGCGATGCCGGGCGGTTTCATCACCTGGCAGGGGGGATGGTGGTTGAGGGGCCGTGTGTTTGCCTTGCTGGCGCTCTGTGCAGCTTTTCGATCCAATCCAACAACGCCAGTCACTGGGAAACGACCATAAAAAAGGCGCAGGAGCTGATAGTGTATTTTGTAGGGCCGGCCCGCGGGGTGGCTGATCTTTCCGTCGAGCATTTCAGTGGTGCGAAGGCAGCGTGGACTGCAACCTTCCGTTTGTGGGACGCAGGAGACTACCGGGCGATAATCCAGACAGGGTGCACCGCGTTGGGGCAGATCGAAACCCTGGCTGACCTGACAATAACTATCGTCCCGAACACAGACGCAGGGGCGCTAACCCCCTGTAACTACGGGCAGGGCTACCGGTGGTTAAGGGACGCGGCGGGGGCGTACGAGTGGGCAGCCCACACGTGCGCGCCGCCGCTTGTTCTGGCATCGGACTATGCAGTTTTAATGCGTCGGAAGGGGTTCCGGAGGCTGATCTTCATTGGGGACTCACAACAGCGGGCGTTGTTTCAGCATTTGAAGTTTCTTTTGGGGGCGCCGATCCGGGAGGATGAGCTCCAGAGGCCGAAGCATGATTTGAGCGAGGTCATCCATCAGGGGGACCCAGAGAGGGAGCTGCATCTGCTGTTCTACTGGATAGATGGGTGAGGGTTCCGTGCGCGTTTTGTTTCACTGTCCCCAGTTTGTGCAGCTTCCTGTGCGCAGCTAGGTCATCAAAGTTTGCAGGCTGCTTATGTATGTTGTTTATTTGCCACTTGCGAGCCAGGGAAGACACTACTTTGTGCAATTCTTTTGATAAATACTTATTCCGTCTGGACTACTTCAGTAACTTATCATCTGGCTGCCTCTCGACCGATTCCTGAACACCTCTCGTGACATTTCTGCGGCAGGACTGCTATGCGATGCAATGAAGTTTAGCAGAAACTCCTTTCCAACTTGTTCAATCGGAACAAGTCACGGTCGGATTCAACACTTTCGAAGCTTCCTGAACATTTGAGCAAGCAATCAAGTCAAGTATTAGCCTGTCAATTCTCCCAACTTAATGTCTTCAAGGAGGGGTGGCAAACAAAATGCTTCCAGCATCTGCACTTAGCTGAGACACTAGTACTCATGCATCACCTGATCATTTTTTCTGGATTCGATCTCGACATCCATTGGCTACCTTCTGTTGGCGATCTTGTAAGAAGCTTTCCCGCTCCAACTTTCAGTACGCTGGAGGCATGGGAAGTGTTCGGTCCAGCAACCAGATGGATTGACCGATAGATCCGACCTTAATAAGATGTTGTGAACATCTTTCAGCCCTTTTTCCTTCTTGCCACGAAGCATGTTGTGGATCGAGTACTGCAAAAGCAACTCGAGAGCGTTGAGCAGGCGCAAGCCAGCATCTGGCGATCTTTGTGACAAAATTTCCTCTTCCGACACTTTGCACTAGTTTGATGCCCCTCCACTGATCCCTGGCGCCGAATCGATTGGTTCCAGCTTTCTTCACAAGTTGTGCAGCGTCCAGTGATGTGCACTTACCAGAAACTGTCTATACCGGCATCCAAAAATATGCCCTCACCAGAAACTTTCAATGCGTCGATTTCCCCTTCTTCTTTGAACCATTACGCTAGCTAGCTCTGGCCGCTCCAGTCATCTGTTTCGAGGCTCGATGTCTGATCGTCTCCCAGTTCTCTCCACTGCAAACTTACGCCCTAAGCGCAGGGCGTCAGCCCCGTCGAACGCGGGTTCTGAGGTTTTGCTCAGCTCGTCGAACCCGTCTATCGTCTCCACCACTTTCTCTGCTGCAATTTTAAAACACCGGAAAACTTGGCTGCGCGCACGAACCCGTGGTTTTGCTGTAACAATCGCACGAAGGCCGGCCATTTCTGCTTCCACTCACCCCTGACGTCCCTGACGTTCCTCCACAGGATTTACGAGAACGGCGAGTTCGGGTGCATCAACCGGGGCATGTTCTCCGGGCGCAACGTGACGACAGCCTTGCCGGCCATCACGACCGGCGCTGACGTCATCTCGCTCGAGGCGGGCACGTGGACCGCCGCGTGGTGCGCCGACGCGTGGGCCGCGTTCAACAAGCACCTGCCCGAGTATCTAGACTGGGGCGAGACGCTGCTGACGCCCGCGAGCCGCCTCGTGTGGCGCACCGCGCCGTCCTTCATGACGGAGTGCCGGCGCAAGCACGTGAAGCTGCAGTACGTGAACCGCGTGGCGCTCGACGCGATCTCCGCGCGCCCGTACCAGCCGTTCAGCAGCTGGGACGTCGAGGCGCCGCGGTTTGCGGACTTGCAGCAGTTCCACTATTCGTGGACTACGGTCGATCCGGTGACGAGCCGCTTTGTGATGGCAGGGCCGGTCGGGGAGGCGGTGGCGCGGGCGTATATGACGTGGACGATTCACACCCTGCAGTAGGACCGGGCCCTAGCTTTGTGTGAATGGTCGCGGCTGCGCTTACAGTCTGAGCTAGGGTCCCGAAAACCCAGAGAGGCAGTATAGGAAGTCAGCTCTTTGAACGTCCACCACTGCCGAGGTTAAAGATCGCAGAAGAACATGGTAGCGATAGCTATCGACCATTTGACATGTATTCTTTGAGTACGGTAATCTAAGAAACAACGCAATTCTTTGCAACCAGAGAACCTCTCTCTGAGGTGAACTCTAAAACCAAGCTGAATTCCCTGTACATAAGTGAGAGTTGCGCGCGTGGGGAAGTGCCTGCCAGCAGCTATGAGTAAACCAGGTCATCCGTCTAACTCTAGGGAGCGCCTGGTTACTCTGCTTGTGCACGAAGTTTCGAGTCGATATATTCCTGCCTTTGGAGGCGAAGTTCTCGTGTTTTTGCGCTCCAAGTACATTCCCGTCTGTCATCCTCGCGCCGCAGTCAAAGTACCAATCACCACCACAGCTGTCAGCCAGCCGTCTATCCAAGTCTGCTAAGGCCCCGGTTGGATCGGTTCTGCTGGTCACTGGACATTATTCAAAGTCCGCGAACCACAAGATCCGATCTCTCCCGGTCACTCCCTGCCAGTGCTGGGCGGCCTGCTTGGAGAGTTTATTTTGGAATCCAGATTCCCAATCGGACGCGTCGATCTTTGTTACCGGAGAATTGGGATTCCCTTCCCGGGCCTATAAGATGCTTTTTAAGCTTTGGCCAAACCTAGGCGCTGGCGCTACAGTTTCAAAGTGCTTTGAACCTGAGCTGCAGATGTGCATACCTTATGATCGTGAGACGGCAAGTAATTCACTTGAACAGTAGGCCATGCAACCGAGATGGCCGACTTACAACCCAGACGCGGGCTCGACCGCTGTAAAGACTCAGTTTTGTTTTGGCAGCTACGGTGGCCTGCATCATGCATGGCATCTTCATAATCATTCGCAACGCGATCGAGGGGACTCAACATCACTGCATAAAGATAATTGACCGACCGGCCGGACGTCCGACCTACTATATTCGCAAACGCGGGTCCGCGGTCGCGCTAAGCTCCGAGTCGTATGATTATGCATGATATTAAAGTGGGCGTCGGGGTATAAGACCGTATTTCCGGGACCAATTTTGACATCTGGCTTTGGGACTTCTTGCAAGTTGACCGGATTGGCAAGCGCGCTCGCCTTGAGATCCTTGGTTCCGGGCGGTTCTGGGTTCGATTCGACAACTTTTGACATTTTTGCTCGCTTTTGCCTCTTCCTTTTTGCGGCCTTCCGCAGCTGACGTACGGTGACGTAGACCCCTAGGGACCGCGGTACACTTCGGTAACCAGACCTCCGGACAGCATCCGGTCCCTGTCTGAAGGCCTGACTTCGGTGGGTACCGCATCCTGGCTGGTTCTTAACAGGTCCGTACCCTCTCTGCTGAAATGACTTCTCTGCCGTTCGATGTCATCTGCAATCTCACCATCGCGCGCGATTTGACCGTCCGATCGGGGTGGACACGCGTGTCCTACGCCCACTTTAAGTTCGACAGGCAACCAACAGTCGATTATAAACACGGATCGTCAGGTTATAAAACTTCCCACATTGAACCTAGCACTTGGTGCTGAGCGCGGGCGCGGGCTATCATTGCAGGCGGCTTCGCGCTAGCTCAGTGACTCACAAATGATAGGTGCCAACGATGCCGAACAGCTGACTCATTGTTTGGCATGCTGGCACGTGAGTGACCGCTTGAATAATGACATATATATGAGATATACCATTACGGCCAACTTACATGCATGTCCGGCCACATCGACGCACATATCATGCATAAATCTGTGATAACAGAATCCGTAAAAGCATCGGATTTAGTCTGCATGCGCGCGGCTGCCTTATGGCCCCAACATTGGAGGCAATGATTGATGGTAGAGGTCCGATCAGCTGAACCCCGACGTACGGTTGTGTGCTACACTTATCATGTACTAACGTATCAAGCTGCACGGCAGCCTTGATGGCACAAATCCGCGATAAAGACGAAAAGAGATTAGACTGAAGCTAATGACCACAAGAATATAATCATTGGGTGCGGGACTTCGACCGTTTAACTAACTCATCATACACCTGTCACTGGCTCAAAGAATTTGCTGACTCTAGGCCTTTCAAGACTAAGCTCTATATGCACAGACTGCCGACCTCGACGCCTCCCAACCGCTGACTCTTGCTGTGTGAAGCAATGATTTCCCAATGACAACCACGTCTTCACAACAGGCATAAATTAGTAAGTCGGCGAGTCACAACACACCGCCGAGGGCTCCAAGAAGGTCGCGCCCTGCGCATCGCCGGCCGTGCACCGCTCCGCCGAATGCAAGTTACTCGTGATGTCCCCGATGAAGTCCCTGAGACACGTGTCACTATCGTGTACCGGGAACGCCTTCGCACAGCTGTGCGCGCGCCCCGTGCTCCACTCTTTGTACGTGGCCACGTGCAACTCGCGCGCTTGGTCCCCGGACGACGCGACGCCGCTACTCGTAAACGAGCACATGTATTCTAGGAGGATCCCGTGGAGGGCGGCTTCGATAGCCGGCATTTCGCCTACGCCGAGGAAAACTAGGGAGAAGAAAACGCGGCCCGAGAGGGCCTGGCACAGTTCGCCGACCGCCGTCGCGCCCTCGAACTCGGCGTCGATGCCGGTCAGCGTGATGGGAACGAATATCTGGTAGCCGGATCGCTTTGTGAACCAAGCTGTAAAGAGAAGCGCAGTCAATCAGGCGACGGGAAAGCCTGGGAGTGGGCTACGATTACATGCCGACTTTGACTTGGGTTTCAGACGTTTTTTTTAATAATGCTGAGTTCTGAAAGCCTGACTGATCCAAGAGATTACGCAGATTGTGGTCAGACCACACACGTTGACAAGAGGCTTCATCCCCTTCAGAAAGAATATGCATGTATTATTCAGCTTCGCAAGTAAAGTGCAACCTCCCTTACAGACTAGTGTTAAGCAAGCTGCAGAGACAAGATTGAGTGGTCAAGCGCGGCTAGGACCAGACGCCCGACGCAGCTATTAACAGGTCCAAAGGCTGACTAAAGCAAACGGATTCGAGGGTATCTGCAAATTGGGCGCCTAATCGATGACCAAAACAACAAAAAGCGGGGGGGCGAGGATGTGCGGCCAATGCAGCAGAAGGACGAGTGACGTAAGCATACAGACGCCCGACTAGAGCCACACGAAAGCAGGCAGCGAAGAATGAGTGACAAAGGCAAGAGAAACTAGGAAGGCGGGACGAGTACATGGACAGCGAAATCCAGCGAAGGGACGCCATTATGACGACGTGACGTGGGAACGGAGCAAAAGGGCGTCTAGAAGGAGAAGGAATGCACAGACCGAGGAAAAGATTGCTTGTGGGAACGGAATTGTGTCGGAACTAAGGCTGATGAGCCCACCCGAAAGGTCAAAGAAAAGGAAAGAGGAGCGGACGTCCAAACGGAAGCAAACGCGCCGATCCGCTAAAAGGACGTCCTACAGAGGGGAGTTTATATAAGCCGAGTCGGACGTCCAAACGGAGCAAACGAAGCCGCTCACCCGCCGACTCCGCCAGGAACGTCTGCTCCGCCTCCCACACGACGTCACCAGTCGCTGACGTCAGCACGAGCCGGCCGTCGTCCAGCAGCGCGAGGTGCTTTGCGCGCCGCTCGCCCGCGGTCGTGGAGGACGCGATGATAGCCTGCGGGCTCGTATCATACGCGACCAGGTTCCCGTCGCCCTGGAACTCGACGTAAGCTATCCCCGGGTGGTCGCACCAGGGCCAGCGCCAGACCGGTAGGAACGGCTCTTTCAACCGGTAAACGATGCACTGGCCGTCGCGTTGCATGAGGAACATAAATTGGAAGTTGGGCGATACGAGTCGCTCACTGCCGCTGATGATGAGGCGCTTCGGGGAGATCTTGGCAGCGCCTGCATTAACGAGTTTGAGGTTTGGTTTGCCAGGTAGAGATATCATTTAAGGGTTTGTATTCCAGCGTTGCGGGTTTGTAGCGACCTAGGGAGGTTGAGGGGCTTGAGGAGATCCAATGGCACCAGGCAAGGGGTGTGGAGTTTCGAATTGCCAAAATAAGAGAGCGCCAGATAACGGTTGTGGAGTTTCGGGGTCGTGAAAACAAGGACGCGTTATTTCACTGATAAAAGCGGGTGGGCTTTGCTTGGTGCCCTCGACGGAGTATGAGAAAATCCTTGGTGTCATTGTTGTACAGACAGAGCGCCTGAAATACTTCCTCGTTGGACTCATCTTGGAGCTTCGCCGCCAGTCTTCACTTGGGATCTTCCCTGTGCTCAGAGATGCTTTCGGAATTACCCTACGTTTCAACAAACGACGGTACAGGCGCAAAATCAATGGAAAAAATCGCTCTTTACTTTGATTGGCAGTGTCTCGTAAAACTTACGTCCAGCCACATCATCAAAAGCGACTTATTGAGACTCAAGATCGAAGTTTTGGTTGTGACGTAGCGCCACCCTGAGGCAGTCCAATTCCTAGATGACAGTGCACGGTCAGGGAGCGACGAATCTTTCTGAGACAACCAAAGTGCCACTATAAAGTTGGACGTGTGGGGGCCACCTCCAGAGCCAGACAGAAGAAGGGCGACCCACCTGCGCTGTTGTAGTAGAAAAGACTGCTCCCCGGCTCGGTGTAACGGCTGACGTAAGCATCTGCACGACAACCACTGCGCGCTTCAGCAGCCGTCCGCAATTCGTCAGCGGCAGTGCGCTGTTCAGAAAGAGAGTCTCGCTTTGCGGTGTATATTTTCTGCGTGTTGACGAAGCGTCTTTCTTCCAAAACACAAATGGCAACACTCGACAACCCCGTTAGTACTGGATAGATTATTCAAACGCTTCTGTAGGATGTGCTATTCTACCGAGGTCGCCTCTCCCTCCAGTCCAAACCTGCTGCGTTGGTAGACTAGTGAACGGACACGACGTTTGTTGAGGGCCCTTCTGGCGAGCGAACCCAAGAAACGCTTCTCCATGAGTTGCGGATAACAGCCTACTCAAGTCTGCTGCTCACGAGAAAGATTTGGATACGCTTGAAAGCGAAGTGAGTCATTTCCGGTCTTGTGCGTTCAAACCGACTGCAGGCGTTCTTGAACGAGAATGTACAAGGGGGAAGCAAAATACTAGAGAAGCACGTCAAACGAGCGCGCGAGCCTGCCTAGCTCCTCTAGCATCGATTTCAAGGCTTCAGCATGATGAGAAGCGCGAAACTGGTCGAAACGCCAACTCAAAAAGGGCATTCCCTTGCAGTCGGGTGGAAGCTCTCGCTTCCCTCCATCGCCCCACGAGTACGGCAGGAAGGAAACAGTGGCAGGGAATGAAATAGCGAATGGGCATAACTCAGGCGAGTCCACGCAGCTCCAACATCGCTTTGGGGGCCCTACCGGAGCGGCAAGAGGGTCAACCAACGCAAAGCGGAATGGAGGGAAAGCGCACTCACTTGAATCCTCAAAGCGTCCCCAACCGAGCTTTTAGAAATCCACCAGAACGGCGAAGCGGAGAATACAGCAAAAATAGAACGAGTAAGGAGCCGGCGAGCGCGCTCACTGGAGCCCACGTGGCAGCTCTCGTTCCGCTTCCACGGCCCCCGCGGGTACGCGGGCAGCCCCTCGATCGCCTCCTCGTACTTCCCGATCAGCGCGGCCTCCCGCACGCTGTCGTGGTGGATCGGCACGCACATCATGTGCTTCGGGACCGGGTACGGGAACGGCAGGTGGGCAAGCGTGTTCTCCACCAGCCGTCGATCGATGACAGGTGGCGGCTTCCAGGGGCTCGGCTGGATCCCGGTGTCGAACGGGTCCTCCTTGAAGTACGCGGGCAGCTGCTTCGCACGTGCGAGCGTCACGTGCTCCCACGCGCTGACGTCGATCCCGACGACGACGCGCGGGTCCATCACGATCCGCACCCGCTCGCCGTACGCGTTCCAGATGTCCTTGCAGAAGAAGCTGTACTCGGAGGCCGCGCACTCGCCCTCCCACCCGCGGTTGCGGAACGTGATGCGCTTCTTGTAGAAGACGTCCGCGTCGATGTTGACTGCCCCGTGGCATGCGCACGACACCGGGATGGGCTTCCCGTCCAGGAACCTGCAATAAGCACAGAAGATGTTTTTGGCTGCTAACCGGGGATGATTATGGGCTGGTTACAACGTGGTTATATGATAACTGGTGCCGTGGCACGCGCACGAGACCGGGATCGGCTTCCCGTCCATGAACCTGCGATGAGGAAAACGAGGAGTAAGCGATTTAGGGTTTCAGTCGGGGTTCAACTCTGGACTCCGAAACGGAACGGATACGGTAGGCTTTAGAGATAGGATTCATTGCGCCTTGTCAAGCGCACGAGACCCGGATTGGCTTCCCGTCCATGAACCTGCAATAAGGAAGGGATCTTCTAGTAATTGACTTCCGATTGAAGGAGACTGGGTTCCGAAACGGAATGCGTACGGCGGAGTTGGCTCGACACCGGGGTTGGTTTCCCGTCGATGAACCTGCAATAAGGAACGGAGTCAATCGAGCGACTCAGCTTTCAATCTGATTGAGAATTACGTGGTTTTCAGAGCGGAATGCATACGGTGAGGACGGAGCTTCAGAGATCCGAGTCCAGGTCGGCCGCGCCTTGCCAAAGGCACAAGATCGAGACAGGCATCCCGTCCATGAACCTGAGCTTCGGACGGGACAAAGCGATATGGACGGGTTGGATTCCTTCAAAGCGCTGAGGTGAGAAACGGGATGCATATGGCAAGAAAAGATGAGTCCAGACATTCAGGTCTGAGAGAAACTGAAGTGAGAAACAAGATGCGCACGGTGCGACAGGGAGCTCAAACGTCGGACGTGATGTTTACAGCGCCGTGGCAAGCGCACGACACCGAGACTGTCTTGCCGTCCATAAGGTGACGAAGGGGGGTCCTGATCAATCGTTCAGATTACGAGTCTGGACTCTTTACAATCCAAAAGTTTAGGAGTGAGAAGGTTTGAACGCCATTGCATATATGCATCCTTTTGCTATCGAACGCTTACGGGATCTTGAACGGTAGTTCTGAACTACAAAGCACTTTTGAACCGATTCCGACTGACTTAGCCAACGAGCCACAGTACCAAACAAGGCAGACGTCCAGGCAGACTCTTTCGAATCTCTTACCATTCTTGAACCGTCAGGATGTTGCTGATGGGGAACTTGCGCTCCTGCTCCTGACCGTCGATGTCCCGCCCCACCCACGTGTCATACACCATGAACGACCGCGTGTGCTCTCCCTCGGGGATCCCGATCGTGTCGATCGCAGTCGCCATGGTCGCGTCGTGCATCAGAAGCATGAGAATGTCCTCCGCGCACAGGTAGCCGTCGTTTAGAATCAGCACGCGATCGAACCGGCGGCTGGCGTCCTGCAAAGCACCGATTCTAAAATTGAGCACCTTGGAAACTTGTCAGGCATAACTCTTAATTCTGCGTGTTTGGATTGTTAACCGAAGGATTGGCGGCTCCTCGTCCATGAAAGCATAAGGCCGAACTTCGCGCCACAGGTAGCCGTCGTTTAGAAGCAGTACGCGGCGAACCGGCGGCTGGCGTCCTGCAAAGCACCGATTCCAATATGTGAGGACCTTCGGGAGTTGGCACCAATCTGCTTCTGCATGTTTGCTTAGGAACAAACGGGATCTCTACGCAACGCCTTTTGCGAGAAAGCGTGGAAATGTCCTCTGCACACAGGTAACCGTCCTTAAGAAGCAGCACGCCGTCGAACCGGCGGCTGGCCTCCTGCAAAGCACCAACTCTAGAATGTTAGGACCTTCAAGAATTAGCATCAATTCGCCTCTGCAATACTGCTTAACAACGAAAATGATTCCCCTGCAACACCTCTTGCAGAAAAGCACTAGAATGTCCTCGGCGCACAGGTAGCCGTCGGTTAGAAGCAGTACGTGGTCGAACCAGCGGCTGGCCTCCTGCAGACACCGATTCCAAAATAGAGCACGTTGGAAGTCTGATATTGATCGCTTTCTGTGTGTTCAAATTGGGAAGCGAAGGAGTGGCCGCCCAAACGCCTCTTGCGTTGAAATGAATCTCGTGCCCAAAAGCCATCCTTTAGAAGCAGTACGCGGTTGAACCAGCGACTGACGTCCTGCAGACACCGACTCCAGATTCGAGGACTCTGACAATCCAGTCGAACCATTTGTGCATGTTTTAATCGGGAAGCCGGATGGCTGCGCGACGCCTCTTCAAACAAGCATGGGAATGAGCGTGGCGCCCCAAAAGACATCCTTCAGAAGCAGTACGCGGTTGATCCAGCGGGTTGCGTCCTGCAAAGCACCGGTTTTCGGCTCTAGTTTCAAGCACCTTCAAAGTCAGCACCAAGGCAAAAGAACCATCAGACGCTAACCGGAGTTACAGAGGGTTAGCGTAACCCACCGGAGCCATGTCCGCCCATGCGAAGCTGAGCGCATGAATTGCGTCCTCGGAGTAGAAGCCCGAAATGTCGTCCAGTTTGTTCCCCGTGCTTTGCCAGCCCTCGGCCGAGGGATCCCCCGCGAGGAGCACCCCCCCCCAGTTGGTCGTCATCTTTACTTTAACCAGATGACCCTCCCCGGCGCCTTCCACCAAGATAACGTACTCGCCTCTCCGGAGATCGAGCACGTGCCTGAGGAGGATTGCGCACGACCACTTTTCCGTTTGTGAAGCGCAGGAGTTTGCAAACAAAAACTCTTCTCGGTTTGAATGGCTTCCTCTGGTCGAACCCTAAAACCATTCTTCATACAGAATGGTCAATCCAAAGGCTTTGGGCGGCACTCTTTGTATTCGCAATGGGCGACGTACTCGCCTCCCCGGAGATCGAGCACGTGCCTGAGCAGGAGTCCGCACGAACATTAAGCAGATTGCAGAGAGAAGACTGTTCCGAAAGCTTTCCAGACCTTTGGGGAGTGTGCCCCTCCGCTCCCCCAAAAAGCGGATGAAACAGAGGGCATAAAGATTCGGGGAAACGGCATGGATCTTGAAAAGCTTTGCGCGGGGTCTGCAGACGAGGTTCATAGATGGATCAGTGTGATCGCAGCGATCAGATCAAAGCAGACGTTCCTGTCCAACAATATGCATCTTGATGCCCAGATGCCGACCAGGTTAAGAAGTCCACTGCATATACGTAAAACCAAACAGTCCCGCCCTTATGCCCCTATGTCCTATGCCAGCCCTCCACAACGGTCCCTTTGAAATGACTAGATTAGCAGAAGAAGATCACAAGCGATACGACTCGAGCTACGACTCTCAGAAAGAACGAAAGAATGAGTAAGCGTCAGATGTCGGCGCAAGTCCTTACCTTTCACCGATGGGGCTCCCCATGCGGCCCTTCGTCACCCCCCCAAAGCTGAGCCGCAGGCCGTAGATCTTGTCTGACGTGGCATACACCTCGATTGACGTCAGCGGGTCGCAGCACCCGTTGCCTGCGGCGTACGTTCCGTTCTCGAAGTTTCCGTGGGGTCCTTCCCAGACCTGCGGAATCCGCGAGCGAACGGGTAAGCGCCATTCAGCGGTCGGAGATGCACTGATGGTGTGGCTAAACAACGCTGTCAGGGCTGTTATTGTGCACTCTGGCGTGGGCAGAAACAAGGTTCCTGGTTTTGTATTTTGCCTCGAGATGGACGACGCAAAAGCAAAGTTGAAGAAAGGTGCCAACAGTGCAAGTGCGAGCGCAAGTGCCAACAAACGAGCTGCGCGAATGTTTAGAAAGACTCTGGTGCTTAGCGTGTCAGAAACTGTAGCTTTTGCAGTGAGGATTCGGCTGACAGAAAGGTTTTATTCGACCCAGTTCCAACGGCTGCAAATTGCTTTTCACCGAATCTCAAACTCTGATCCTGTGCGCTATGGACCATTAGCGTTTCACAGGAGCGGATTACACCGTGTCTTGGCCAGTACAGAACTCGAGTGGTCTCATGTCTCCTATCATCTGGAAGCTGCTTTGCAAACCCGTCTTAAACGCTCCCCAGATGTTCCTGCCTGCTTAAGAAGCTGCTCTAGCATCAAGCACTCAACGCCACCAACATATTAATCCATTTTTTGCTTTTTATCGCTTTGGACCACTTGCGACGGACCGCATCTTGAGCAGTCCGTACCAAGACTAACCTGCTTCAGAAGCGGGTTAAGCGCCATGTTGCGCGCATTGACCAGGAAATCGATGCGAGTCTGGCCTGGTCTCCGTGTGAGGCCGTTTGTGATAATCGTGTTCGGAATTTGGAGCACGTTCAGTTCCCGCTCGAAAGCCTGCAGCTTTTCGGGGGTGGCGTCGTGACTGCCCGACTCGTAGATGGAGATGTGTATCCGAGGGGGCCCGAGAAACTCGGCAAGTAAAAGGATTTCGCCCAGGAAGTGGTCGCACTCTGAAAACAAAGAGAGAGCGGTATCAAGTAATGAATAAGGCGACAAGAGGAAGGTTGGGAGACCGAATGGGATCGGAACAAATATCCGTTGCCCGTAAGGTGGTTGGAGACAAGAGAGCGGGAGGCGAGACGAGCTTTCCTGTCTAGACTCTTTCGAAGATTTTTGACAACACTTCCCCTTTTTTGGTGCTGCGCTTAGCCAACTCCCAAAGGCGGCATCTCCCTCTTTCCTCAGAGACTGAGCGCATCCCTTGAGGAGTCTCCATCGCTTTCTGCCTTCCTTCGCTTTCGTAGCTTTTCTGCTGAGATTTGGACGAAGAAGTCCCGCAAGAATAAGTGGCTCTGCAAGATGAAACTGCTGAAGGAACGCAGATCCTTTCAGGAGGATTGGTGATTCTTGAAATGGTACTCGCAGCCAGCCACCTGACTTACACAAGGTGAACTGGCTGAGGTGCCGTTTCTTTGCCAGAACATGGGCCCCTAACAGGTGAGTACACTTCAAACCAGGCCCTCACAATCAGCTAAAAAGATGTGAAGAAAAGCAGGAGAGAAGAGGGAGCAACCGGAAATGGTCGAACCTTTCACTCGTTTTCTGTTTTTCAAAGGAAACGATGGTAGCAAAGATACAAGGCCACTTTGTTCAATGATGAACAGAAGTCACAGCCTGTTTCTCGAGTGGTTTGTTTCCTGGTCGGAACAGGATTCAGAAGAATACTCTCTGCGCCACACCCTCCAAAACCTGCTTGCATTAAAGGTCTCAGCTGTGAATCCGGGAATCGATATACGAGCTCTCCTGAAACTCAAAAGACCCAATATTCCCGCAAAACAAATGGTGGCCTCGCATCCCGCCAGCTGGCACTGTCCCGGTGCGCCAGCTGGCAATTTCAGATCCCATGATCCTTGCATCGGTCTTGCATCATTTCTTCATTACTAATTCTAATACGAATACCTCATATTAGTCGCGGGGGCCCGAGAGTAGACAACTGCACTGCTCTCCGCCAGCAGCCATCTTGAAGTACCAGCAAACAAAGTGTGCACCCAGAGTACCGAGACCGCTGACTTGTGTATTTTATAGAACATGGCAAGCGCACCAATGGGCACCCAATCTGCAGCTGAAATCCGTCCAATCCTTGCTTGTTACACAATGTCAGCCACAAGGCGATGGAAGGAAACTTGTGGAACCCCAGAATGTGAGCAGACTCTCTGCCTAAGCTGCCATGAAACCGATATTCCACGTATCATTCGGCACCACCCCCAGCATTCTTACCACCACTCGAGAGGGGAGCACGTTCCAATCCAATGAGCAAGCAGAAGCCAGGTGACAAGAGCATGGGCAACTCACCGAGCTCGTTGTTCTTCAAATTCATGCCCAGGAACACCCGCTTGGTTGCCAGCTTCCCAAAGGCCAGCTGGTCGATCCCTGACGCCCAGTGACTTATACATGCTTCTCTCGTCCACTTCCTATCGGGCGCAAGCGTGTTTATCGTGTCCGCGCGCAGCCCGCTGTTTAGCGACTTTGATGCGAATGGGCGGGAAAACATTGCGGGCGATAAAGTGCTGTTGAAGACCACAAGAATCAGAATCCAGAATGAAAGGGCCAGCACGCAGAGCCCAAGGGACGTGAGGCGCCCGCGGGGGGTTTTGTTCTTGGGCAGGTTCCCGCCCCGGCGGAATGTGAAGCCCTGGAGGAGCATGGTGGGCCAGACGGCCGTGGGCCATGTGATTGTGATGGTCATCATTTTGGGCTCCACCCCTGAAACCCTAATTCCATCGAACGTGCTTGTCCAGAGAAACCGACATCCCTGCTTTTCTCGCGTCTGCAGCCAGATGTAGCCTCAAAGAGAGGCCACATCTGAAGCTGGCTTGGACAAGATTAGTCCGTCTTAGGCCCCTCTAAAGAATTGGCGCACCACCTTTCTCAAACTTTGATATGCTCCCGTGCAATGTGCTCCTATACGCCTCAGGGTTCAAGTGGTGTTACAAAGCGCCTGCTTCTGGTCTGCACATCCTTTATCTTCAGATGCAAGCTTACATTTGTTGGGGTCTTCAATGGAAGTGTGAGAGAGGAGCAGCCGCCCTAGTGCCCCCGGGGACGATCTGACACGAATTTGAACGCTGCTAAGCTTTGCCTATATGATTATCTGGACCCAACCTCACTCTTGTTGTGAAAACCTTGAAGCCCTCAATGGGCGTGGGACCTCTCTCGTGAACCAAGTTCCTACATATGCTTTCCCTTCTCCTGAAACTATAAAAGGGAGAAACATTTACTGATTCAGTGCCACATTGCAAGTGTTGAATGCAGGAACTTGAACGGGCCACTTACCTGTTGCGCTTCATTAGATCTCAACGCATGCTCATTGCTGCGCCTCTCCGTTCGGTTTGAACAGGGAGCAAACTTTCCAGGGTGCTTGACATGCGGGCGGTTCAATGATTACCAGATTGGTGAGCGATGCGTATTGAACGACGGTCACTCGCAATACAGTTTGGGAGGGTTAGTTGGGGGGTAAAAGGGTGGGTAAGGGCAGGCTGTTCGGTGGTAACTTGTACCGTCGTCCGAGGAACGCCTAGGGCCTATAATATACATAAATAAGGGATTCGACGAAACCCGGTGACTTCTCTAGGGGTTTGGGGTCGGCAGGTCCTTGATTATTGCATGAACTTTCGCGGCCGGGGCCCCGGCGCCCGCCCGGGGGGCATACATACCTACCGGTATTCAAAGAATTTTGATCATTTACCAACCTTCCGGCCGGAGGATAGCAAAGCTACTGTAACCACCTCGAGACGGTTGGGGTTAGGTCGGCGGGTTTATGAGTACCTACTCCGAGTATGGGGTAGGTACACTCCGATAACTCTCGTGTGACCCAAGAGCCCTGTGACCTAAGAAAGGCACCCGGGGACGGGTGGGGTTGGTATGGTGGTTAGGGTGGGTTGGGGTGCGGAGCGGGTGATTACCTGGCTTAGGGTTTTAGTTTGAAGTGCCCGGGTGATTCGAATCTTAGGTCACACGCCCGTTAGGTCACACGAGAGTTACCGGTATGGTAGGTACAGGAAAATGCGAGGCCGATTAGAACGGTACCGAATAAGTGGGTACGCGATTCGCCGGCTCCTCCAGGTTGGTCGGTACGAAGACTTAGACTCCAAAAAGACTGCAAGCCGTCGATGGACCGGGCAAGTTGTCGAGTAAATCTATCTACACCGTCGAACCAAAGCCTAAAGGGAAGTGTCTTTTGGAGCCTGGGCCCGGTGAAGGCCACCGGTACACCTATCGGACTCGAGCCCCGGGGGGGTGTACTTCCTTTCGACTCTCACACTACTGCCGTCTACTCGCATAAACTGCACTATTGACCTTCGGCTGTGTCAAGAAATTGGTGGTCCCTATTTTGTACGAGCCAGGCTCCAGAGTCCGGTCATCATTGTCAAAGATGACGGGGCCAAAATAATGGTAAACGCGAGAAGTGAATGATCATGCGCATTGAGTACCGTACTTGGTAATACGGTACCATAATTTGTGTACCAATGTACGATTCACTGGTAGGTGGATATGAGCGGTACCTACGTAGTACGGTACGTGATAGAAACGAGTTGGTAGCGACTCCGATTTGTAGTACCTATCAAAGTACCGTATCCCACATCGGTACGGTCCCTACTCAAAATTTGTACTCCGATAACTCTCCTGTGACCTCAGAGCCGTGTGACCTAAGATAGGCACCCGGGGGACGGGTGGGGTTGGTATGGTAGTTAGGGTGGGTTGGGGTGCGGAGCGGGTGATTATTCGGGTTAGGTTTTTAGCTTGAAGTGCCCGGGTAGCTCGTAGCTTTAATAGGTCACACTCCCGTTAGGTCACACGAGAGTTGCCGGTATAAAATTTGTTTCTCAGGGGTAGAGGTACTTACTACCGTACTTCGTTAAAATTCCGTACAAGCTTGATGCAGTCCTGAGTCGACGCCTCCGTACCTCCTGCTAATACCTATCCCCGGGCCTCGGCCGGGGGGGGATGGACTTTACCGACTCTTGTCTACCGTCTTCGGATTTAGAAGACGGCAATAAAGTGGTTTCTTCCATACTGATGGCTTGAATATTGAGAGGCGACCGGCATGACGATGTTCCGCCGACGGCGCGGTTGCTTCATTACACAAGTCTTGATGCGCCGTACCCCACCTGCACGGTGCACTCCAGTAACACTTCAGGAACTTGTACGAGCTACTTCGACTCCTCACCAACGTACCCCCAGCCGAATGTCAGGAATCAGGCCACTGAATCTAGTAGGTAGTACCTAGCTAGACTTGATGGACATCCAGCTTTTGAGCACACAGCGCCAACGTGCTCTGACAAAATCGCCGTGCGAAGTTTGAAAAAACTGCGCGCAGAACACCAAGCGTGGCCTGCCACAAAGCAGCGTGGTTAACAGTGACTTACAGGGACGGCTGACATTGAGGCTCGGAAAGCCACACTCATTCGAAGATTTGCCCTATTTCAGTCCTGTCAAAGGTTCAAGCATCTGCGAGTAAAGTCTTCCTTGGCACAGAGTCACGTTGCCAAGATTACTCTCAGATTCTTACATCGCCGTTCGGCAGCAACCCGCGCCCCCCGCCCTCCTCCAGCTCCCACTCCAGCTGCCAAGGAGCCGCGTACCACTGTTCAGCTCAGTGTTCCTCCTCATCGCGGAAACACAATGTTGTCTCTCAAGGGCGACTCCAACAGTCGCCTCGCCAAGATCCTGACCGTCTGCTTCTGCCTGCTGACGCTCATCGTCCTCTTCCGACTCGTGGGCGCCGTCCTCGTCCCGCAGGCCGGCAGTCACAATCCGCTGCTCCCCGCCCAGTCTAGTTCCCTCGGCGCCGCAGACTCCAGCTCAGCGCTCGCGGGCGTCGACGCAAAGGTCTCCCAAGTGCTGCAACTCCTGCAGGCCAACCCTGCCCTGCCAGCTGGCGTGCAGTCGGGACTGCCAGCTGGCGCCGGGACCGATGGCGCGGACATGATTGACCGGTACCTGACACTGCTGGCCACAACACTGACGGGCATCGTTTACCGGAGGCCGGTGTTTGGCGCCTACGGAGGGACCGACGACGTGCCGCTCGAGAGGGTGCCATTTAACGAGGCGGCAGCTGCCGAGGGCCTTGTGTGGCCCGACGTGGGCCATACCATGGTGGGGTTGAAGAGGCTGGCCAATACCAGGTTGCTGTTAGAGACAGGTAATTCTTGTTGTCACTTTGAATTGTGTGGGCTTTGCCTTTTGTTGTTATCAGGGTTAATTCCAGTATGGTATTGGTGGACGCAACTTGTTGAGGGTAAGGAACATAAGAAGTTGCTGCTGGCAACTGGTAAATTGTGTAGAAGCTCTTGTCTCCTTGCACACTGAACGTCACCTTACCGCGCAGCGATACTTGTTTCCGAGATCTTCCTTTCTTTTGTTATTCTCCGCTAGAAGTCGGTTATGATGGGTGCCAAAAGGACCCGTCAATTAAGTATGTAGTGGCATGCTTGAACACTAAGAAGACATTGGAAGTGATCCAACTAAAGGCAGCTTAGTGAGCTGAGTTTGTAACGCGATTCTACTGGGGAATACCTTCTGTGGACAAGTACCAAGAACATTTTGTCAGACCAGAAGGGCTGGGACTGGGGTGCGACGACCCCTGCAATTCCGAACAGAATGTGCTGCAATACAGACTCTTTTGTTTTACCACTTCCTTGCCTTTCTTTTTGTCCTGGAACCCTAAGTCGGTGAACCTGATTTGTTTCAGCCGCTCCTTGGTCCATCTTTTTCCAGTTACCCTGATTGTAACGTACCCTGTTTTTTTTCCTTTCACTGCTTGCTCCCACTTGAAGCCTTGATACCTCCCCGGTCTGCGCTTGCTTAGCTTTTAATTTCCACTTTCTCTGGCCGGCTCACTCCTAAGCCATTCCAATCTGGTCTGTCCAAAATTCCCTACTTCGGGGAAGTGCTAGCTTTTCTCTCATTGCCTCTGTATGCTGCTGAATCTGGTAAGGTCAGCACTGTGAATATTGCAAACTGCAAGGACATTACCAAGCCTCAACTTTCTGAGATTCTTGCGCTCATTTTCTCTCCTTTTGTCTGCTGGCACTGCTTTACTTTCTTTCCTTTCTGCCACTCTAAGAGGACGGTGACAAGATAGGGTTTTAGATGCACTATGCTAAGCTTTTCCTTATACTAACCCTTTGTCATCCGGCAGACTGACTACTGAAACATGTACGAGCAATTCACTGACCATGTTTTGAACCTGCCTTGTGCAGTTCTCAAGGAGGACATTCCTGGAGATTTCTTGGAGGCCGGAGTCTGGAGAGGAGGCTCGTGCATCTTTGCTCGCGCTGTCTTGGACGTCTACAAGAGCAAGCGGCTGGTGAGAAGACCTCAAACCCTAAGGTTTACATCCCTTGGAAAATGGGGACCAGTTCCCGGTCCAATGCAAGCTTCTTCCGATTTTAATTGAACTACCACCATGCACTACAGTAGAGATTCAGAGCTGCTCTTGGTGTCATCCTTTTACAGAGGAAGTAATCTTTAGGGTACCGATCTTTTTGATCGACTGTGATTGGCTCATCCAACTCCATTCTCTTCTTAAGCGCACAAAATTCCGGATATATCTTCCCTGCTTTTACCATATCAATGAATGTGTTGTTTGTGCCTTCTTGAATCCTGCAAGGTCCTGTCGCGCAAAGTCGTGCTTGCAAGTCTATTTACCATCTCGACCTTTACTTCTTTCCTTCTGAAACACTCGCAAGCTCTTTGAAACGAATTGCCTGAATCAATTTTTCGAGACTTGAAATACCGAATCACAACCATCTTTCCGTCCCTCACGTACGTGTGTCAACAATCGTCCCTCTCATCCTGACCTTTTCCGGCTCTCCGTTTTTCCAGGTCCACGTATGCGACAGCTTCGAAGGCCTTCCCGCAGCTTCGAGCGTGAAGGACAACGACTCCTGGAGTCGGGTGAATTTTCTGCGGGTTGCCAAGGAGCAGGTACGGCCAGATACACTCTTTTCTTTACCTGCCTCCCTTCTATTATCAGCGGTCTTCCCATCGTAAACGACTCCTGGAGTCCGGTTGACTTCCTGAGGCTTTCCAAGGAGCAGGTAAAGCAGGCTAGATTCAAACTTCTTTTTGCCTGCCTTATTTATGCATGCATCAAACATTCACCCCCTCAACAAGTTGATACTTTTATTGGGCCCGAAAGGTGCCCACCAGACTGACGCCAATCAACGCACTTGCATGTTTGGCGTCAGAATAGCACCATCTATCAGAAATGTGCCCCCCCGATAAATGGCGTACTACCAGGCCAATCATTATAGTACCAGCGGTTCTCATTTCGCGTTAGCGTGAAGAACGACGACTCCTGGAGTCGGACTTACTTCCAGAGGGCTTCTAATTGGAGAGCTTTCAAGTCGAGGTATCCACTCGCGTCGGGCGCAGACCCTTTGTCTCTGCTCTCCGTCTCTGTTAACTTGAGCACCACTTCGGAGCCGACCAAATACCGGTCTCTTCTCCCATCTCTCCTTCTGATCCGTGTTCTTTAACGATACTTTCCCCCATTTTTGACCATTGTAAGAGCTTTTCAGGTTCTCGAACATGCTCAACGACCGCGTTCTTCATTACTGCGCTCCCCCCACCCCCTCCATCTCTCCATCTCTCCCTCTGCCCCCGAGTACACCCCCCATTTGATTTCACCCCGTGTTCCTCCCCCCCTCGCGCAGGTCCAGGAGCATTTCAAGTCGTACAACATGCTCAACGATTGTGTACTTATGAGCGCTTTGACCCCCCGTTCCTCTCCGCCTTTGCCCCGCCACTCCTCATTGTGTAATTTCTCCCCCCCTCCCGCAGGTCCAGGAGCATTTCAAATCGTACAACATGCTCAACGAGCGCGTGCTTTTCCACAAGGGCTTCTTCCGCGACAGCCTCCCGACCGCCCCCGTCTCGCAGCTCGCGGTCATCCGTGCGGACGGCGACATGTACGAAAGCACGATGGACATCCTGTTCAACCTGTACGAAAAGCTGTCCGTGGGGGGGTACGTCGTGATCGACGACTGGGGGATCCCCGAGGCGCAGGAGGCCGTCTGGGATTTCGCCAAGTGGCACGGCTTCACGGACGACGTCAAGAACCTGGTGAGTCGCTTCGGTTGGTTATGCAAGGAGCGTTTTGGTGTCGGCGCAGGCGTCTGTCGCGTTTCCGCGTTGAGTTCATTCTGACGCTTTCGTTTTGGGTCTCGCTAAACGGAACGGCATCTGGATCAAGAACGAAGAGCCTAGTGCGGAGGAATATTCTGAGTCTACCTGGCAGTGCGCTCGTGCGTTCCAAGTCGTTTGCTCAGACTGAGTACGGATTCTCAGCAAAGTGTCCAATTTCGACTCTCAGCAAGCCTCGCGCTTCTTTGCTACGCTTGAAAGCGGTGGGCGAGATACAAACTGTCCCCGGTTGACGGGACAGACGACGCCCCATAGCTTGCTAATCCGGAGATATCTGAAACGTTTACACGAGGCCGATGCTTTACGCTGGTCAAAGCTCGCAGCTCAGACAAGTTCCCCGATCCATTATGATAGATAGATCTCAGTCTATAGGCGTTCTTTCTCAGCAGCTGCTCTCTCCTGGATCGCTTTTCGGGCAGCCGTTTCTGTGACCTGACTGCTGCCGGAGTGGCATTGACGGACTTCTAACTGAGATCTCGCGGTCCCTCACGAGGGAAACGTGCAAAGCTTCCGCTTTCCAGTATGCCCAGCGGAAGGCCCTTGAACCAAAACGAAGTCTCTCCTTGAAGGCGACTTGACCAAACTCTTCCGCTTCTTTCCACAGACCTCCCTCCCCTGGAAGCTTACATCATAATTTGTTGTTGTCGCCAGGTGCGTATCGACCAATCGGCGATTTACTGGAAGAAGGTCAAGGAAACCAAGGTTCGGATGGAGCTTTACCAGGACTTTAACTCAATCAGAACACCCGGCAAGACTGCAGGAGCCCAGTGAAAATTCAGTTACAATCACTGAACTCGGGCGTTCAATTCACGTCGCGTTGTGACGACCTCAGTGCTCTGGTGCCGCGGAATTTTAAATGTCGTGGCGTCAAAATTGGCGACCGAAGTAGTGTCATAGTGGCCAGTTGGTCGCCATACCGGGCGCAATGGGCACTCGGCAAGCAGAGGAGTATGAGGCTACTATACTCAGAGTGCGCCCGGGACTTCTCTGATTATTTCTGTCTTTGCGATCGGGGTGTTTGACGAACGATATATGATACGCTGAAGCAGATTTAGCACTAGGAAAGGGGCAAGGAAAGACCGATTCACTTGGTCGCAGCACGCGAGCTTACTCAGCTCGCAAGTATTGAAGTGATTGGGTTCTAGATACAACTTTGTTAGGGTGAAAGTATTTGTCGACGTCCCTACTGACGCTGTACAGTCTGAATAGTACTATAGGAATCTGTCGTCAGCAACCTGTCATTCGTACCGTTCTTCGTGGCTGACTGCGTTTCACAAAGGAGCTAGCGGCCGTTTTGAAATTCCATGTTTCTAGATATCATTGATGGGACCTTCAAACTCGCATCGAATCTGCAACCACTCCTGCCAGCCCCCATCGCATACCAAATGTTGTGCGCGCCTGATGTCCCGTGACTTGCTGAAACCAGACTGTGAAATATGTTAGCGCATAAGTCAGGCGCGCGTATGCCGCTTGGGCAATTAAGCTCGATTCATTGAAACCTTGTGCCCAGCTTTGCAAGTAGTCATGTTCCCTCTCGTCGACCACCGACCTTAAATCGGCATGGTTGATCGACCATCATATGATATGGCATGCGCACTGATACCATACACTGAAACGTATCATACGAGAATCTTTCTTTTGCACAGTAGTCGGGGCCGACCCACGGGGTCTGGTATACAAGGAACTAGAACGTCTAGGATAAAAGGCTTGAACTTAGCCATCATGTCCGCTCGTCTAGATGTTGCACAAAAGCGAGGAGTAGCAAGCAAAGTTGGCGCCAGTAGGATACGAAGAGACCCACTGCTTACTTTCTAGTACATTTGGAAGGGAGGTTCGTCCCGCTCACTCAATAAATGACCATCCGATTAGATTCGTTGCTGCAAACAAGAGTTGCTGGTTGCAATCCTCGGTCCGACTCTTTCTTGCGCTGACAAATGAAATGAAAACTTCCCGCTCGTCTAGTTTCCGTGATGCCTATGTAACGCCTTTTTTAGCCACCAAGACTCACAACGGCCAGGCATCATTTTCAAACTCAGGGAGGTGCGGAGGTGCTAGATTCGAGTCCGCTGTTAATGCGCCTCTGGATAATAGTGCACAACGCTCGTACTAAGCTTCAAACTGCAGATTACCAACGTTTCTAGTCCTTTCAAGGACGGACGTACTTTTACAGGCTACACCGGGCTGCAAAGCTGAGGACGAAGCCATTCACGACTGGATAGAAGCTTGCAGCAGGCAACTCAAAAAGGTCCCGAACTGCCAAAGAGGCGGGCGGTACGCTGCCGTTGTTTGTAACTGGTGTCTTATACACGTGTAGAAGGTAGCGCCTTGTCCAAAAAGCAGGAGTGCAGGAGTGCGCACGGCAACCAGGAGCTGACTGACGTCCGACTGGGCAAAAGTGGACGTCCGGCGGAACGTACAATGATAACCGTGCTATAGGATTCGCGGACGTTCGTTTGCGAGCTGGCTACGGAACGCCAGGATTCCAAAAGGACGGAATGGCGGAAGAGGAACCCGGAACTAGAGTCAAATCGGTCAGCAGCTAGACCAGGCGGGCCCGGTTTATCATGTGCTTTCGGGTCACTTTGGTCTCCGGCAACATGTGGTTAGCGGGTCAGGCACGTTGGTTACTCAGGGGGTTAGTTGATAAGTTAGTTTATAGTTGATTAGGCATATGAGTTACTTCCTTACGCACTTCAGGAGGTCAACCGCACTAGATATAACACCCCCCGGCCGGGTTCCGCTGTCTCAAGAGCAGGGGCCTTTGGTTGAGGCCCCGGTGGTTCCATCCGACCTCAAGAAGGCGTGCCGCAAGGAGACTCGGACAGCGCGCGCGCTCGGAGTTCGCGAAGCTCGCGCGCAGCACCTTCCGCAAGGAGACTCGGGCAGTGCGCGCGCTCGAAGTTTGCGAAGCTCGCGCGCAGCGCGTTCGGAGCGCGAGCCGCGGCCGCCCCTCAGAAGACGTTCGCCGCCGACTCTGTCTGCCTTTGAAGCTGGGCCGCTTTGGACGAGGCATGTTTCCGTGGGTTGGAGGAATAAAGACGCTGCGTCACGTGCGTAGCAACCTTCATCGAAGTAACTCTGTGGGAAAGCACGAGACTAGCGTACCAACTGGAAGGGGCGCATCGAAAACCAGCAATCCAGAGCCGCCACGACTGGATTTAGCTGCATCGACGTTTAAGATATGTAGTGTTGAATGAGGGTTCAGGCTGCGCTGCTTAAGGTGTTGGCATCAGATGACTCAGGGAGCGACTACGGTGGAAGCCCTACATGAGAGCGCTCCACTACTGCTGAAAGAGGAAGGCTTTTTCACCGTTCCGGCGACGGAAGAGCAGCACAGCCAGCTTGCGAAAGATCGAGAGTGATTGATTCTACTTCTTTTTCTGAAGAAAGCGCATGAGGAATTTAGCGGAGTAGAGAGGGCTTAACAGAAAGAGACGGCCTCTTTTGACAAACATGAATTATACAAAGAGCGTTTGATAATCGGATCCAGGCTTCGAATTGGAGGTAATTTATGAGCCGTTATATTGTGCGCTAAGTTTACTGCGAGAAAGCTTTTCGTGCGAACCCGGTCCGAAGTGGGTCCAAACTAAAACACCTGTCCAACCCCGGTCCGAAGCTTCAGATCCCGTTCAGACATTTCGGATGTCTGAAAACGGTCCAAATTGGGACCGAAGCAGATCCGGTTTGGATCCGAACTGGTTCTGCGCAACTCCGGTCGATCTGCTATCAATAGGATCAGAAGACGTTGTCCATGCTGCTGAGGACGTGATGATTGCACATCATGTAGTCAAGCAATAACGTCGTGCTCATCATGGCTATTCGATTTGAAGCATCTCATGATATCGATCGATACCGTACAGATTCATTGTCCAAGGTACGTACTGGTAGAAGAGCACCGGGCGGTCAAGAACGGAAATACTGCAGTGAACATGGTACGTGTCACTGTCGGAAGATGCTCATGAGAGGCGTCGCTCTTTTTTGATCAGAGCAGCTGCGTGCGCTGACGCTTTTAAGTCTTTAGGAGCCTTCTCTCAGGGCGGTGCGGCTTCAAAAAGCTTAAAGAAAAGGGTCTTTGTGGTCGCTTGGGAGTCTGATTTGTGACAAGATCCAGGCTCTCCCTTTCTGCCCCTCAAAGTTGCTTAAAGTGGATTGCGAACGCGCTATAATCCGTCCCACCAAAGGACAGTATCTGGTCTCCACCGCTCTTTGACTCTGTGTAACTAAGACACGACTTTGAAATCCCTGATGCATCAGATCCCACTCAGACACATTCACACCATACCATGTTGCTTGAAAACGTCTTTTCAACTGGGCTCGATGTTGGATAGTTTCTTGATCCGATATTGATCTTTCAAGTTGCTTTCTAGTAAGTTCGTAGCGCAGCGCCTATTGTACGAGATTGACCGTTACCAAGAAAAATTAGCCCAACACCTGACGGGCTAAGCAACATGATCAAACTTCAGAATCCCAGAAACAGGGTGCGTCACCAGCGCCGTTCAAATCTTCTATTCTTTTTGGATGCTCCTTCGAATAGCCTCAGCCCAAAAACGGAACACGTCTGCATCATAGAACCGGCTGCAGAGGTTGCTACAAGTTTCATCACGCGGTGTAGAGCGGAACGGAAGGATCGTCCAGCGGTACAGAACTGAAGCGCTAATTTGACCGCGCCGGAGAGATCTAAGGCCAAAATGCATCCGTCAGATCGTGGAGGCTCTGAAATGGCCAGAGACACCGGCTGAGGTGGGCTGAGGTCAGGGTTTTTGTGGCAAGCGAAGCTAGGACTTTGCAGGTAGGTGGAAAAGGTAAAGCTCGGCAGAAATTGCTCTATTGATGCCACATTTTTCAGTGTTAAGACCGTCAATGCCAGCCCCGCGAGAACTTTCGTCCGGCAAAGTCGCCCCCGGAAAAGACACATTAATGGTCGGGAGTAACTTTGATCCTGTTATGAAAACCAGCTTCGCGGTCCTGGTACCCACGTAATCCGGCCCCCGCCGACGGCAGTGGTCAGGGAATCAGTCCCGCGATCACTAGTTCTCTGAAAAGGGCTCGAGTGCGCTAGATGGAAGGAGACATGCCCAGTAGAAGCAGCGATGAAGTTGGATTTCCACTCGTTGTACAGTGAAAAGAAGGCAGTGAGATCAGCCACTCCGTCCCTTCTTCGCTTGAATCCTTCTTTACTTCGGCGACGGGGGTTCCCAAGGAAAGTGTCGGCACACACTGACCGTCTGCCCGTCGGTCCAATCCGACAACTTGAAGCCCCGAAGGCCTGGAACCCATGCAGGATCCAACGGACGCCTTCAAAGGCCCTAACGACCCCATGTGGTCCCAATATCGATACGAAGTTGAAATTCATTAAGCTAACTAGCTTTGGGCTCTGCTCACGTCTTGACGCGATGTCAAGACGTGAGCAGACAGCTCTCTCTGTCAATTTCTTCCTGCGCTTTCTGCTGGAAAGGTCAAACGTAGAGCAAGACCCCACATGCCGGGCTGAGGTCGCAAGGAGCGGTGCGCAGTGAGCGCCGCCCACGTCAGCAACACGCGCGAGCGCACAAGTTGGAGAGTGCGGGAATATTGAGCTGGGCAGGGCCGAGGGGAGCATTCAGTAAGGATGGAGATTCAAACGACCGGTTAAAGCCAGGAGAAGGCTCACCGGCAAAGCGCGTCAAACACAGTAAATGACCAGATAATGGGAGACTTTCATCACAAAAGCTCGACCCGGGCCTTACCCAGCGGTTCATCGTTCCATAATCCAGGGCCTACTCAGTACTGCCGGTCAAGATTGGTGGACCCTTGGGAGCAGCCTCAATTTAGCTCGAAATAATCTCGAAGTAACCTCGGTTATTCGATCGAATTCACCTCGATAAACCGAGGGATTAGCCCTCGATTATGGCTCGTTTCCAGGGCGCACACGATACTGACGCCACGATTGCTGAATACTCGGCAGGGGACTCGTTGGCTGAGCCGCGGCAGCACCCACCCACTCATGTCATCAGTGTGAATGCGCTCCAAAAGCTGGCTGGACATCCGTCAACTTCGAGCCAAGGTTGCTTCGAGGATGATAGGCCAGCGCGTTTTTTTCGAAAAGTCGACCGTTCCAGAAGGGGCGGAGCGATGCGAACTTCCGCTTGGAATTCATTTCAATGTCTGCGGCAGTTTAGAAGCGAAGGGAAGTGGGCACATCTGACAGGAACCATTGGCCGTAAACCATAATGATTGTGGGTTCGTCAAATAAGACTTGTGTCCGATAACCTTACCCCGACGTTGACCAGCCTTGGAGCAATATTAGACAACGGTTGATGTCCAATAACCCGAGAGTCAGGTCCCGTGATCTGCCTGGTTAGCAGCCAGAACTTCTTGTGCCTCAGTGTTGAAGCAGTGCTGAGATGCGGGTTGCTGTGCCGTTAGATTGGCACCTTCATTTTCAAAGCCCGCGTTGGGGGGCCGCCTGCGTGCAGCTCGCGCTCCCCCCCAAACTGGAGATGAACGGATGCGAGAATGGAACTTAACTCCCATAGCTTATCCTGAAAACACTTCACACCAGCTAGGTGGGAACCGGTCCCGGAACCCGACTTATTATCTGGTTCTCTGCCCGGACCTGCCTGAGTGTATTCCCAGGAGGGACGTCGCTCGGACCCTTTCTGATGCTGAAAAAGCGAACTATTGAATCCAAACGCTTGGCAAAACCCTGGCCTACACTCTTCCAAAACTTGCCGCAACTAGTGGCGGATGGACAGCCGCGAGCGCGGCTCCACGCGGTCGTGGTTCAGTGCGCTCGACGAGCGGGCGAGTGCCGGAGAAATGCGCACACGCGCGCAGATAGAACGAGCGCACAAACTGCGCAGAGTGTGCGTGCATCGGCACCAAAACGAGGTGCCGTTGAATCCAAACAACCTCACCGCTGACCCGTTTTACAAAGAGAGGTCCTCCGATTGAGCCCATCACTTCCAATCCTTTGGAGAACAGTTGCACTTGACCCCCGCCTTCGGGAGTAAAGGCCGCATTTCATGGACTGAGAGTGGGCAACCCCCGCGCGCCTTCAAAGATGCGCGCGCGCCCGGCTTTGCAGGAAGCATTCGTTCAACTGCAGGAGACTCGTCGGCCGCCGCGCGGCCGCTCCTTTGCGTGACAGGTGTCGTCGCGCGCGTGGGCGGCCGCGCCGTTTTCGCAGCTTACTCGTCCCACACAGAGGCGGTTGCAAAGTCCCCCCGGAGCCTGCATGATTGGGTTTTCAAACGAGCAGATTTTGGGATATGAGTTCGGCTCTGGCAAGCCAAGATAGCTTGCCAAGTTCCTCATTCGATCGATGGGACCTGGATGGATCGAAGCGAGTAACCGGAAATGTCACGTTCCTTTTTATAGAATTACAAACAAACAAGGTCGTCCGGATCCGAGGCAGTTTTGGCCGAGGCTTTTCTGCATTTTTACATTCGACTTTACTGCATAATACACCCCGCCTCGCTGACGCTGGCGGAACGGTAGACCGTCATGCAGCCGGAGAGCACTTGTTCAGGCGTGGGAATTGTCGATCCATCGAGATAGTTATGGGCAGCTGCAGCCGACTCTTAGCCGCAACATCAGAGGAGGCGGATCGCGGCGTTCATCAGGATGATAGGTTGCGACTGAAGGCGCTTCTTTTGAAAGGTTTGCTGTGCAGAGGGGTCTTCGGGCCGCAATCGTATAGGTTAGATGTGACCATCCCAGTGCGCAATTTGAGTTCAGGTCGTTGCAGAGAAGCTCTTGTTATGAATGGCCACACGATGACGTCATCGGACACTGTATGAGTTGGAGGCGGGTAGTATCATTGGTACTTGATCAAAATCATGCAGTACGTATTGCAGTCATGCAGTGTATTGTAGGATGAGTTTTGACGAAGTAATTGTTCGCGTCACGTACTGCTAGATCCCAAAGCACAAGATATTGCACGATGGTGAAGATGCATCTTGTGCGGATCAGAGAGTGGGCATGACACATGTGGCCAGTCGAGTGTGTGTATAAACTGAAGGAACTGTAATAATTGGGGCATCGGGCGGGACAATCAATGTTCGACACATACGTTTTGTATGACGGATCGACCGTTCACAGATGGTATTCACGTTGTTATCGCGCAACAGCGTCCTTTTCCAAATGGTAACTCAGCTATGAAGCACAAGTTATGCAAATCAGGGACTCAGTAATTCCTATCCCCATGCCGGAAGCCCGATCAAGATTCAACGGCGACACTACGTTTGATTTATTATTTGACTTTATCACTGGAGTGTTCTTAGCGCGTGCAGTCTCGGACGGACTTGCACCGCTTATTAGCGGCGGAGGGGGGAAACGTCCAGCTTATAAGAGCCCGCCTCTGCCGCTAACCGGCATCGACCGTGTAAATAATCACTAGTCCACAGTACGAACTATGCTGACGTAGTCATTTCTGCGTTGTTCTTGGGGGGCCGGCCAACTATATACGTTCCGGGCCCTCAGTTTTTGAAACAATCGGATTAAAAAGGATCGAAAAAACCGCTCTCGGTGCAGAGTGCGGCTCGGCCAACCCGCGCCGGGGTGGGAAGAAAGATTCGTGAGGGACGAACCACGTTTCCTGAAACGAGCGAGGTCATTTTCTACAATCGTTTGGGAGGAGCCGTCTACTAAGACCTAAAGTTTTTAGTGTTTCTGATAATACCTTGAAACAAAGACGAGCACGTGGAGACGAAGGTGCCTTTACAAGGAGTTGTCACGCGGTGGGAGAGGTTGATCGGCTTCGGATGATTGAATGCAGGGAATGGAGCTCCGGAAGGCGGCAAATGAATGTCACACGTTGCACTCGTACCCGCTTCGTATCTGAACGGAGCTGGTCTGCAGAACGGAGGACGCAAAACGTGTTAAAATAAGTCGACTGGTGCGGTCAGTCGGGGCGCACGTCACTTAGTACCGAAAACCCCGGACCGGTTTGTAGATCAGAAAACTTCCAACCAGAAAATGATATGGAGACTGTAAATCGGAAAGATTGTTAAACGGACATATTGATGAAGCGTCGACAGAACGGAAGCTTGAGTTTTCCGTCCTTAGGCTAAGTCAGTGTACTTCTTACGTCTTCAAATTTTCAACGGACAGATTATCAGGCGTGTATGAAAACCAGGGGTGAAATTGTACTTGTTATTAGAGAAGACGGAAAGGTCTTCTTTCAGTCATTTCCTCCCCATCTCCAGACGCCAGTGGGCTGACACGACGAATGATGAAGACAAAGATTTCGAGGAGCAGATGGATACTGAGTAGGTTTCGACCAACAAAAACTCGTTCGCCTAATTTAGTGAAATCGAAGTCTACTTTGAGATGAGGAGTATCACCGGTTAGCATTAGCAAGGCCACACAACCTGCTTCATCAGACCCTTTCTCAACTTTCACCCCCGCCTCCTTCCCCCAAAATCAAGGGGGTTAAAAACTGGAGAAAAGGTTCAAGCCTTCAAACATTTGATCAATAGAAGACAATCTCTCTCTCTCAATCAAGGAGAAGATGATCCTTGGTTGGGGGAGTCCTTAGTTTCCAATCAAAGAAACCTAGGGAATTATGAGTAATGTTTCAAAAGCCTACCGCTTAGTATCCGCACGGCCCGGCCACTTGGCAGAATACTTGCAGAGCGTTGGAGCCACCGGACGGTGCGACGGACCCGGCGATCGGGCAAATGTAGCCTTGTGGGCAGCAGAACTGGATCTGAAGAATACAAGGAACCGGGTTAAGATGACTCTTGTTCAGGGAAAGACTGCGGGAGCTGAAAAGAAAGTGCCCAGATATGTAGTCTATCTAATTATTGAAATCCGAGGGTTCAAAAAGAGCGCAGGATTGGTCGCAGTCTTTAGAACGGTCACAGTCAACGTCACAACCTGACTCAGGGTTGAATCTTTGTTACTCCTTGTGAAAGCATTTGATGTCGCAATCGCCGACTCCATTCGGGCACGCAAGCTCGATCGTCCAGCACTTCCACGGGTTGAAAATGCGCTTCATATTGCTACAAAGCTACTAGCCACCAGAAATATGACCTGAGCGAATATACTGCTCTCGGTAGAGGAAGGGAGTACATGGTGGAAAGGCTCATAGTCTCATCTCACTTAGCAGACGTTTTGCAGACGTTTTGACCTCTTTGACTGACCTGAAATCTTGACGACCCCTACCCTAATGGCACCCACTGGTTCCGTCCGTCTCCCGGGCGTCTATCTTGCGCCAAATACCTCTAGACTGAACTGAGAACTCAACCAGAGTTTAGCAAAAGACTTAAGTTGATCAGAGCCGTCAGGATGAAGCACTTACCCCTCCCGCCGTTGAGCACACGTTGAACGCCTGACCGGACGGGTCGTATCCGCAGGTTCCGTCCACGCCGGGAGATCCGGAAGAGGGCACCGTCTGGCACCCGCTGGGGGGGCCAGAAGTGGGGGCGGGGGAGGGGGTGGTTGCGACGGGGGTAGGGCCGGGAGTATTTGGGGCGGAAGTCGTCGGGGCGTTGGTTGTGGGGGCGTTGGTTGTGGGGGCGTTCGTTGCGGGGGCGTTCGTTGTGGGGGGGTTTGTTGTGGGGGCGTTTGTGGGGGAGGAAGTCGGGGTGTCTGCGCAGGGCCCCAGCGCTTGGCAGTAGACCTGGAGAGCGAAGCTCGGGTTGGAGGCCGTGACCGGGTCCGCCGTCGGGCAGGTGTAGCCGGTTTCGCAGCAGAACGCGATCTGCGAAACAGCGGAAAGACGGCTGGGGTTGACGCTGTGGGTTAGCAGATTGGAAGCTTGTTAAGGCCTCCGCCGTGGGGCCAGCGTAGCCAGTTTGGCGGCAGAATTGGATCTGTGGAACAGCGGAAAGACGCGGCTTGGGTTAGCGACTTGGATCTTGGTTGCAAAGTTGAAGCCCACGAATTCCACGAAATTGCTAGCAAGCTTGGCTGATGACTTCGGTCTTTATTGTCGACTTGATTGAGAGCTTCGACGTGGAATTGATGAAGAGGTATCAGGGAGAAACGATCCAAGAGAGATCCGACCACAAGTAAGCGTCCTATGAAAGGAATTGAACATCCGGGAAATGGAAGCAATCACAAGAAACACAAAGTTTTGGGCAAAGAATTCGTTCAGAGACGTAGCCGGCCGGACCTAACGCGCTCGTGTCGTAATCGGCAGTATCATGTTACGGTTCAGCGAACGATCGGGTGGCCGCGAGCTTCAGAGGACGCAATGATTTCAGCAGCACGAACTCCTTCCAGCGCGAGGACTTCCTTTTAGCTTCAAAACAGAGGAATATGATGATCAAGGGCAAGACAACTTTTGCACATATGCAAACAGACGTTATATTGGAAAGGAACCACGTCTAAGCAGAGGAAATTGAATGTAGGGGGTCTGTCTTCGCCAAAGAAAAGCTCACCGAAGAAGCGCATACGCCGGTTCGTCATGCAGAGAGCTATCCTTTCGTACACAGCAATTGAAGAACGATCGACACACGCCCCAGAAAAGTAAAACACCGTGCAGAGCGTTCACCTACGTGATGCATCAAAAGGCTTCCGGTGGAAAGGGGGACTCAATCCTAAGCACGAACCGCAAAAAAGTCGTTAGCGGAGACCCACCCCAGCCATCGTCGTACACAGGTTGTACCCCTGGCCGGCGGGGTCAAACCCGCACGTGCCGTCGGACCCGGGGGATCCCCTCGGGGCCGTGGTGCACGGTCCACCGGGGGGGTTTGTTGGAGCGGAAGTTGGAGAGGAAGTCGCAGAGGGGGTGCTAGTTGGAGAGGGAGTTGTCGAAGTTGGGGAGGGGGTCGCAGAGGTCGGGGAGGGAGTTGCAGAGGTCGGGGACGGAGTCGTAGAGGTGGGGCTTGGAGTCGCAGGAGAGCTGGGGAGGGTGAACCCGCACTGCTGGCCTGTGTTGAAGTTTAGAGTGTTGCTGTCAACCTGAAAGGAACGGCGGAAGATGTCAGGCTTGGGTTTCGGAAGAGAGAAAGTCAAGGGAATCGACATAAACGGCTTGGGACTTGGGAGAAGGTGGGAAGCGTACAAATGCGCCGCGCGAAGCCACAAGAGGGAGAGATAAAGGGGATTAGTAAGTTGCGGTCACAATCCTGGCGACAAAAGCAAGACGAGAGTTAAGGGGAATGTTTGGCAGGCGGCAATGGTCTTAAGTCTATTGAAACATAGAGGGTCGCGGCATGTTGAGTCCAACGTCCGAATTAAAGAGGCCGATGGTTTGGTGTACGCATAACAAATTCAGGCTCGATAGTTAACCAGTCCGTCCATCTCGCACACCGTGCCATGCACTTTCTGAAGCGTCAAAACGTACCGACTAGAGCTTTTCGAGGTTATCAAAGGATAATCGGTCTGGAGAAGAAGCCATGGAGAAAACAAATTGGTGATGGAACCGTTTTCGCTTGCCAGATTGGTATATTACTAACACTCTCTCCGGGCCTGGTACTTCAATAGCTCTGGCTATCATGCTCCCAGAGGTCCGGATTGTCATATTACATACTGGATCGGATGAAAATTGCGCTTAACCAAACGTGTCGTGTCTCAAAACCTGCTTTGGTAGTGCCGTTCCTTTGCGATGTGATCACTAACCTGGATTTGTCCTGTAGCAAGGTTTCTTGTTCAGTTACTCATCAGTGCTTCGTCTGTGCTCATCTGTGCTCATGATGACATGCACACAGATTGCAGTAAAGGCTCTAGAATCTTGTCAGCAAGGCCCTGGGGAGTATTGATCAAAAATGTAGAAAGCTGACACGACGGAGGGCACTCACGTAATTGTAGCACCCAAAAGGCCCTGCTGCTGTGGGAGGGTTTGGTGGGCAGGCACATTGCGTGGAGCCCGCTGAACTGCACATGCAAACACAAGGCCTTCAGGACATTGGGCTTGCTTTTCACCGTAAAACCATATGAATGCTGAGGATAGGAATGAGTATAGCAGCTCGATTAAAGGAATCCATTCAAAGGCCCTACATTATTCAACAGGAGCTGGTCTCTGAGGTCAGTGTGAGGGGTGATTGGCAGCTTCTAAGCAGAATGCAGATTCTGATGGTTCCACAATCGCTATCCAGCTCTCTCTTTCCTCCTGATAACAGTAGTGGGTTTTCTCTCAACCAAGCTTGATTTTGCTACAAAAGCTTCACACGTCTCAGAGCCCTCAGGCTTGTCTTACTCTTACTCACATGTCCACATTCAAATGACACAGACATTCTGGGCTTTCCCTTTCAAACTTCTCTTGAGGTTTCGTGTTGTCTGGTCTTTGGAAAACATTCCTACCAAAGATGTGACCAGACTTACTAGCCTTCGACACTGAGGTCACTTTGCCTGATCAGCATAAGTATATCGTTCTGATTGAGCTCTGCAAAGTTTTCTAGCCACCATCTCAAAAGGTTGAGAAACTCCCCAGCCCAAAATGTGCTGCATCCAAAATGGCACCCGCAAAAGCTTTATGCTTTGCCAACTCGACAACTCTCAAACACAGATGAGTCCATAGGCAGAGCCAAGCTTTCAAAGCCCACCAGCCAGGTTGAGAGGGGAATATTGTTCCTTGTGCTGAACTTTATTGCGGGTCCAGTGTTGCCTCGAAAGTTATCCTCAAAGGTTTTAAAGCTGCACTGACCTTTCCAGGGATCCAACACATAATGTTACGCAACCGGAAAGGCCTCAGCTCACGATCAAGGAGTCCCAAAGGAAGTCACAATAAACTCCCTCATGTTCCATGCTCACCAGTAGTTGATAACCATACCCACAGACGAGAAGAACCCACTTCCAACCTAGATTGTGCCAATCCTCAGAACATGAAACCGAGCTCACCACAGACCAGTGAAAGCCCCAAACCCTCACCAGCAAAACTGAACGACCCCGGAACTGTCCCGGCACGGCTCGTGCCAGTTTGGGGTTTGCTGCCCGATCCGCACGCCGTCAAACGGATCATCCGCGGGAAACTGCCCACAAGGGTTGTCGGACCCCTCCTGCAACAGCTGTCGGTCCGTGCTATGCACAAGGAGCCCGCCCGAGGTGCTCAGCCCGCGCCGGTATCCTTGCACCGGTTGCGAGAAGATAAGCAGCGCGGTGACTAGGAGCAGGGACACCGGGACTCGTGCAGTCATTGCTGCTACCATCTTCCCTACCTACAGACTTTCCTTCTACAAGTCTAGTACGAGGGTGCTGACAAGGAGGGGGGTGGCTAACACGGAGTGGGTAGTTGCTGACAAGGAGGGGGCCAGCTGCTGGCAAGGGGAGCTCAGTACTCTTAGCTGAGAAGAAGGAAGCGCAGAGGGGAGCTCGAGTGGGAAGCTGGAGAGTCAATCCGACGTAGGGGGCGGCCTCCTTTCCTGCTTCTTCCTCCACTTGCGGACTCTGCGTTCTTGTAGAGTGTGGCTGGGAGTCTATCTTTTTCTTTTCTTGAGCTGTGGGCGAAGACGAAGTGGATGAGAGCGAACGTAGGTACTGTCGTTGGTGCGAGGAACAGCGCCCCATTGCTGACATACGCTGAGGCTGCGCCAAAATATTGTAGCGTCATGGGCAGCTGACGCCAGCTTACGTACACAGCTTGTCAAGCACGGGTCGCTCTAGATTGTACAGCTGCTAAGAGGGCTGATGATAAGCAACGTGCTTTACTGAGTAGCTAGTGGGGAGGCAGTCTCTGCTGGCTGCTAGGGTACCTATACCGCAGAGTTCCAAACCGTTCAAAAGGCTTTAAATTCCCCCCCTTTCTTTCCCCTAATACTGGCACTTTACAGGCACAGGTGGCTCGCGGTGCCAAGGGGGTGAAAACGGGAAGGGTGCCTTTCCCACCTCATACTAGGTAAGTATACTAAGTATGATACTTTGTATCAGGTGGCTGCGACTGGCAGCTAGCTAGCAGTGAGCCAACAGGAAGCATGTGCACACCGTCAGGAAATCTAGGTGGGTAATATCTAGGTAGTACCGGTACAGACCATCCTCATGAGGAGCATACTGCACAAGCGGGATCGGTCTAGGGCTTCCACATTGCGCAACCCGACCGCTATGACTTCACTTGGACTGTTACCAGCTACGGTATGCCGGTACCTAGCTAGGTACCGTAGTCCTCTCAACTGGGACTCGGAGTCGGCCTTCAGGTGCCGCTCTATCGGGTACATTTGAACTCAACTTTGTCTCAGTGTACCTAGCAGGCAGTTCCGCTCTAAATTTCAGTACTTTGGCTGTCGACTGTGTGTACAGACCGACACCGTCTGCAGACCGGCGCACTTACTTTCGCTTGATTTGAGCGCTCTTGACGTCAGTACTCTAGACACCGACAAGCAATTATTGCAAACAAGAACCCTTGTACACGTGGCGGCTCGCCACTTGTCGACTGAAGACCCTCGAGCTACCTTCGGCTTGTGAGGTCGATCGGGTCTCCGTAGCACACATCAGTACACCCTTTAGATAGGGTGTGCACTGCGCACTGTGCAATGTGAACAGGCAAACTGGCAATACCCTACTCAAGAGTGCGCCAAACTTCGAAGGTGCCCGCACTCGCAACGTCTACGGCATACTGACCTGACAGCAGCAAGAGCGACGTTCCACCTTGCTGGAGCGATTACCTATGTCATTGAAAGAGCCTGGGAGGCCATTATGCAGAAACAGGAACAGAGTCCTGACAATGAACAGGTACAGACATTCCTCGCTTGACGTCAAGATGCCTGCAGCCTCACTACCTAGCTCACCTCTCTAGGCTCGCGCAGCGACCAGCACAGGTGTACAGAGCTGCAAAAACGCGGTAATATGTACGGTAAGATGTCACATAACAATAAGCAGCATCCGTACGTATACTACCTACCGGTACACCTAGTCTGTACATGCTGCAACTAAATGACGGATGCTACATAGTGTGAATGGTGGAGTACAGCTGAAAGGTGCGTCCCCTAAAGCTTTGGAAGCGAACAAGACTCAGCGAGGAGCAGTACCAAGTAGGGCGTCGGCTGCTATCTCCGCACAGCTGTCAGTGACCATGACGACCATCGGACGGACAGGACAAATCTTACCGTCCTCCAGCAGAATCTTTCCGTCTTTCCCAGTTTGGTACTGACTTCGCCGACCTTAGAGCACTTTGACAAGAAAGCAGAGAGAACCAGGTAGCTCGCCCGCAGAGAAAGCCCTTTGCAGTGACAGCCACTTGAGCACGTGCACTTCCTAGTCTCTCAGCTCAGTCTGTATTAGCTCCACTCAGCTCCCTTGGTTTTTGAGGTGCGACATGCTAGCAGCCCTTATCTTCCCCGCAATCTTGGAGCTCCAGTGCGTCTCTGGAAGAACCAAGCCTGCTCCAGAAACTAGAGTGGTCGCCCTCCCTCCAGCTCAGAGCCTCAGCTGAGCTCCAAACAGCCGCCCGCAAGTCAGCGCAGCTCTCTCCCTGCATCAGAGCTCTTTTCCCCTGGTTGCACTTCTCCCACAGTCACCACAAAAAGCAGCAGGGCAGAAAGTCTGCTGCGAGAAAAGCTGTCCCTGAGCTCAAAAGGCATGCACTCGCCGCCCCGAGCAAGCGCCCAAAAACAGGGGGGCAGTCCGTACTCGCACCAACACCAGGCCATGCAGACAACAGGGTTCCGCCTGCCGTTCAGCGTGCGCGACCTTTCCATCGGTCTTCGTGCTGGGTCCTCACGATGCTGGTACG